GCTTCAAGATGATATTATATCTATGCAACAATAGGCAGACCTATGGTATATGTCAATGAAAAAAAAAAATTAAAGTTATCCACTTTAGAGTAAAAAACAAAAAATTCAAATATTTCATGATAAATATGACTAATAATAATAAACATATAGTACTACAAGAAACAGAAATAGAAAGAGATCTGGGTATTATTATTACAAATAAACTAAAATGGCACAATCAAGTCATAAAAGCAGCAAATAATGCAAACCAGATTTTGGGAATGGTTAATAAAGAAATGTGGATGTCTGCATTATGAAAGTATTATATACATCGCTTGTAAGACCACATTTAGACTATACTGTCTTGGTTTGGAATTCTAACCAACAATAAGATAAAGATCATTTCGAAAAAGTTCAAAAAAGAGCGACAAAAATGGTCCCATCTTTAAAAAAAATGAAATGTGAAAACAGAGAAAAGAATCATTAGAGAAAAGAAGAACTCGTGGAGACCTTATAAAAATGTATAGAATAGTATATGGTTACGATCAAATTTCATTACAAAAACCAATAAATTTTATAACCAACAGAGTATTAGACGGAAAAAAAAGCAGAAATCGCAACTATAGATTCTTAAGAGAATACACTCCAAAATGTAACGCAAGACATAACTTTTTCTTAAATTGAGTTTGTAATAATTAGAATAATTTAGATCATGAAACTGTTAATGTGAAGACGATAAACTCTTTTAAAATGAAACTGTTAATGTGAAGACGATAAACTCTTTTAAAATGAAACTGTTAATGTGAAGACGATAAACTCTTTTAAAATGAAACTGTTAATATGAAGACGATAAACTCTTTTAAAATGAAACTGTTAATGTGAAGACGATAAACTCTTTTAAAATGAAACTGTTAATATGAAGACGATAAACTCTTTTAAAATGAAACTGTTAATGTGAAGACGATAAACTCTTTTAAAATGAAACTGTTAATGTGAAGACGATAAACTCTTTTAAAATGAAACTGTTAATGTGAAGACGATAAACTCTTTTAAAATGAAACTGTTAATGTGAAGACGATAAACTCTTTTAAAATGAAACTGTTAATGTGAAGACGATAAACTCTTTTAAAATGAAACTGTTAATGTGAAGACGATAAACTCTTTTAAAATGAAACTGTTAATGTGAAGACGATAAACTCTTTTAAAATGAAACTGTTAATGTGAAGACGATAAACTCTTTTAAAATGAAACTGTTAATGTGAAGACGATAAACTCTTTTAAAATGAAACTGTTAATGTGAAGACGATAAACTCTTTTAAAATGAAACTGTTAATGTGAAGACGATAAACTCTTTTAAAATGAAACTGTTAATGTGAAGACGATAAACTCTTTTAAAATGAAACTGTTAATGTGAAGACGATAAACTCTTTTAAAATGAAACTGTTAATGTGAAGACGATAAACTCTTTTAAAATGAAACTGTTAATGTGAAGACGATAAACTCTTTTAAAATGAAACTGTTAATATGAAGACGATAAACTCTTTTAAAATGAAACTGTTAATGTGAAGACGATAAACTCTTTTAAAATGAAACTGTTAATGTGAAGACGATAAACTCTTTTAAAAACAATATTGATAAAAGATAAAAGTAAATTTTAACTGTTATAAACTAATCTCTTATGTGATTACTTTCTGTGTAATTTTTACACTACGGCTTTCAATTTAATAATAAATAATTTTCTCCTCATTGTTTTGGCAATATCCGACGTTTTTTCTTCAATTTGGTAATTTATACGTTCGCGATGAAATCACGTTTAATAAAGCATATAAAAGTTAAAATTAAATAGTAACTTCTGTTATGAATGTAACTCATTATTATCTGAATTGATTTTCATACAATATTTCAAGTATAATTTATAAAAATTATTATATTATAAATAATATATTAAAATTAAAGCAACAATAAAAATAAACGTATAAAATATGTAAATCTTACCTTATTATTTTGTTATATTGACTGACCATGATTTTTTTTTTAAATATTAAATAGTTTTAAAACATTAACTTAAATCGCTTACAAAAATGTTAAAAAAGTTTTTTGTGATAACAAAACTTTAAAAGTCATTTTTTTGAAATTTTTTTGTTTTTATAATACATTGAATTGTAATTCATTATTGTAGATTTTAAAAAATTATTGTAATGTTGAAAATAGAATAATAGGAAGGTAAAAATATATTTTATTCTTTGGTTTTAAATATACATAGTTATCCATACAATATACATATACAAATATGCATCGTTATTTTTAAAAGTTTTCATGTTATTTATAATATTGTATACAACCTTATATTATTGAATCAATAACAATGATCAACTTAAAAATAAACTTGATAATTCAGACTGTTACAAAAATTATTTATCACAAATAACATTAAATAAAAAAATAAATATATTTTTATACCGTTTATAGCTCATATAGCAAACATCTTCGGTTGTTGTTGAGTTCTACAATCGATTTTTTAATCAATTCTTATTTTATTATTATTAAGGCCAATGAGGGGTGTAGGGAAAGCAAATCCCCCTCCCCATCGATCATTTTTTTGTTCAAGTTAGTCGGTAAACTTGGACAGTCAATCGGCAAATTCGAGGCTTTTTTTTTGTTTTATTATTATTGTTATTATGATAAAAAGTAGATTTTTTTAAAGTTATATATTAAAATTTAAAGTATATATATATATATATATATATATATATATATATATATATATATATATATATATATATATATATATATATATATATATATATATATATATATATATATATATATATATATATATATAAACAATTTAAAATGTATTCTACAAAAAGAGTGCTCAATGTTCTAAGTGGCTGATAATAAATATTAACAATAATAAGTGTTGGATGGATAATGGATCTACCTAAAGAAAGCTATTAGAAGATATTGAACAGTTATTAACAGTGTGCCGTGCTCTTTCCTTAATTCACACAAAAATAAAAGTCTTTACTTTAGTCAAGTAAAAGTTATAAAGATAATGTTTAGTATGATGACGTAAAAAGACACGATCTTCAAAAGATAGTCAAGATTGACAAAAGAATGAATATGTATTTTGTTGTTGTTGTGGAGTTGTGTTGCCTATTGTGGAGCCTAAATCGAAAATCATCAGAGAAAACTTAAGTGCAATACAATGTCTGAAAATCGTGGTACACTTTGCCATCAAGATTGTGAAACAATCTTGATGTCAAGCAAAAAGTATACATACCAATAACTTCTTGTTTGCTTTGTCCTTATTTTTTCTCCAAATATGCAAGAATATCAGTAGTTGTATATTTCCACATGATCTTATTTCCTTGAGCAACCTTAAATTAAGAAGCGACTTTCATTTTTGATGACAAATTTGTATCTTTATTCTACTCTATTTCAATGATTTCAGAGTCCCTCCTATTTCTTTAGCGCCCACGGTATGGTTACCAGTGTTTTATCTTGTTACGCAAATAAGTATACTACATTGTTTAATGCAAGTTGTGTTAGTTTAGTAAGTTTGAACATTTAAATATGACTTATTGTGGTTTAATAACTAATGGTAGTAAATATTTGATTTGACTCAAATTCTTGCAAAAGATATGATTTTGTTAATCACGCGTTAGTCTAATAGGCCTAAATAGTTTGCCTAATGTTTACATGATAAAAGTGTGTGAAAGTTACTCTAGTTCTATGGTTTATCAGATAGTATTATGTGATAATTTCTTGCGATATTACCAAAGCTTTGTACTTATTATAATCATCAAAAAACATTTTTATTCACAAAGCTTCATTTAAGTTAAGGGTAAACTCAGCTGTGTTGTATTTTAATGAGAAAATTGCTTATGTTCAATAGTAATGAGTCACCTCAACTTTAAGAGTGGTTTAAAAACCGCAATTTTCTCATATTTTATGTATCAAAAACGCAAGTAACAAAAGTATGATGAAAAAAAAACACTTTAAAAAGAAAAAGCAGAATAATTAGGTAATAAATAAAAGTTAGGCCATTAATAAGAGTTGACAAAATGAAGAACAAAAACTAAAACTTGATTATTACTGTTTTGTGGAGTAATTTTTCAAAAATCATAGCATATAAGTGACATGAAGTTTTTGCAGATTTTCAGGGTTTGTTGAAGTACTTTTTTTTTGACATCAGGCCCTCTAATGATAGAGGGGCCTGAAGCAAAACTGATGTCAAAAAAAAAAAGTACTTCTTAAGTAAGTTATTAACATTTTTCTGTTTTATTTCATCAGCTGAACTACAACTTTTGATGCTTTTCCAAAAGCATCAAAAATTTGTCACGAGTTTCGACAATAATTTTGATTCAGGACCTTCATTTTATGCATACAATACGTTTTACTAAATTGGAAGCTCTAGTATCAAGTTATCGTTTTTCAAAATTTGTTTTAAAATGACTCATTTTACAACCTTTTTTTTAGAAGAAATTGTTATATTTTTGGAAGAAATTGTTGCAAAATAAAACGTTTCTCCTCTCTATTTACTCTCAATATACTTTAATACCTTATTTAATAAAAATAATGAAATTTCAGAAAGTTTTTTTTTAGTGGTGAGCCACAATTAATTTAATTGTGGCTCACCACTAAAAAAAAAAAAAAAAATTAATTAAATAAGTTAATTTTTTTATGGTGTTCATACGGCTACTTCAGGCAGTAGAAAAAAGAAAGAAAAAATTCATTTATAACTAAAAAAGCACTTGAGTTACAGTGACCCACCCCCTTCCCTTCCAAAAAGAAAAAACCTAATCTATTTTTAATTTATAAGATAGCAAGCTTTCACAGCTTGTGATTGCTGATGGCTAGCTTACATTTATGCGTCAAGGAATTGTAGAAAAGGTAAAAGATTGGATTCATTCTCATTCTAGCTTCACAAAAACGGAATCATATAAATGTCTTGAAAATTTTGTTAAAGGACTTAGATAATATTAATTTGTGAATGGATTTGAATATTATTATTACAATTTTGAAGATTTTGATATATTATAGTAACTTACCTAACTACAAAAAATATTTATAATATTTATAATTTATAATTCATCAGTTGTTTTTTTGTTGATATATTGAAGTTTAGCTTATCTGCTTCTTTGTTGACAATTTTAATACGTTTTGAATTATGTTCTTTATCTGGAGACGCTTTCCGTTTACTACTGTATGAAACATCACTACTCGAAGTACTCTCCGGACTATTTGCATTACGCCGATTTAAGTCTAGTTGGTATCTTTTTGAAATAATATTTTTTTGTCTATGTTGGAGCTCGAAATAATCTAAAATAGTAACAAGTAATAGTATTTCTTTAAAGCCTTAAAGTTAATAATAATAATATTTAGAAAACATCACTACTACTACTACTACTACTACTACTACTACTACTACTACTACTACTACTACTACTACTACTACTACTACTACTACTACTACTACTACTACTACTACTGCTACTTATTGTATATAAAAAAGTCATACTTTTAGATAAAGCACTTTTTGCAGCCTCTTTCTCCGCTTCTTTACGGCTATTTGAAAAAAGAAAATTTAAAAAATTTAATTTTTTGAATAAAAAAAGAAACAATACGTGTGACCTAAATAAAGTGAAGCAAACATTTGCGTGTTGTAAATGCTAAATAGTTTTTAACAAAATTAATTGAGCAAGTTGGCTAAGTTAAGTAAAAAAAAATTAATTCAAAATTATCTAAATAATAAGTAACTTAAGTATAAATTAGAAGAGAAGTGAGCGGGATAGTTGATACAACTTTAACATTGTTTACTTTATAACAGGCATTGCAGACGCGCGGCTGGAGTAAAAAACTGGGAAGTTTAAAAACATAACTTCGTTGTAATTTTCATCTTCAGTTAATTGATTTTCGTCCAAATGACTTATATGATTTTTACTTTTACAATCACCTTTTTAAAAGTTTTAAAAAGTTAAGGTAAACGTAATAATTTTTTTTCTTTTACTAAGACGTTTTTATCAAAATATTTCTTAATCTCTTGAGGAATGAATGATATCTTTGATATATTGTTTTATCAATTAAATATTTAAATTTATGCTATAACTTCAACATTTACTACGAGGTTTAATTGCTGGTTTTTGTAAAAAAGAAAAATAAGATAATGAGGATCAGCATACATTCAAAAAAAATATCTTGTAGAATAAAAAGTAATTTTTAACAGTTTCGGTTTCTAAACCCTTAAAAAAATGACATATAAACTGTACGCCAAAAAAAAACAATATCAACTAAATTAATGAAATTTTTTGGTTTTTATTATAAAATGCTGTTAAACAAAATTAGGAACGTATTCTAAAAATTAACAGAATAAAACTCGTCAATATTACTAAATTTGAAAATAAACAAAATTATAATAAATAACATAAATCGCACAAAAACTGAAACAGATTGGCACAACTCTGATGAGCACAAAATTTACAGATATTAAATCTAAACCAATCATCTTTGCTTTTCGTACCATTCCACCACAAACCATATTCAAAACGTTTACTACTTTCTGGTAAAAAATTCTCATAATAAGAAGTTTTTTAACTAATACTTTTTTCTCTTGGAAAAAACTTGAAGAAACTTATTTCTACTTAGTTTTTTTGTACAACTTTTTAAAAGATTTTTTCATTTTTGTCTTGTGAGGTGAACTTGTAATATTAACAGAGTTTTATTTTTTGATTTTAACTTGGGTATAAGGACAATATCATTAAATGAGAATATCAGAAGTTATGATATCATTTATCATAATACTGCATCTAGTAACACAGCATAACACATTATCATGAACAGCATAACTATGACCTCTTAAAGTTGCATTTGAGCTCCCAAAAAGAGCCTTACACAAAATATGCTCTCAGGAATCTAATTTTATGGTATTGATATCGATGTCAAAATTTGTTCTTTTCACAACATTTATATACTATAAAAAGTAATCTTTTTATGATGACCTATAAAACGACTCTTATAGATTTGACGTATGATAAATGACAATTGTATTGGATCAATGATGTATGCATATTCATATGATCAATGATCTATAATAAATGATCCTGTTCAACTTTTATTGACAAAACTTGCTAGAAAAAACCAACCGTATTAAAAAAATGCAATGGGCTACTTTTCATATCTTGATCAGCTGGTTTATTGGCCATATGCCACTGTAAAGCAGATTTAGAGATGCATATGTATGTATGTATGTATGTATGTATGTATGTATGTATGTATGTATGTATGTATGTATGTATATTTATATATATATATATATATCAGGAGATGTATTAGCATACATATCAGTAAGATATATCAGCAGATGTTTTAGCATATATATCAGCATATGTATCACCATACAAGTGAGCATATGTATCAGCATATGTATCAGCATATGTATCAACATAATGTATCAGCAGACGTATCAGCATGTATTAGCATTTGTGTCAGCATATGTATCAGCATACATATTAGCATGATGTATTAGCAGATGTATCAGCATATGTATCAGCAGATGTATCGACATATGTATCAGCAGATGTATCAGCAGACGTATCAGCATATGTTTTTACTTTTATTTTGATAAAAATAAAACTAGCAATCTCCAATTTACTCTCATTTAATTCTAATCAATATAAATATTTTGTAAACAAAAAATAGTAAGCATTAGTAATGTTAACAAAGAATAAATAAAGTTTGAAATGGAATTACGCGTGGAACAGAAAAACTTTTATTTTAGTTACTAGATAAATAAACTTTAATTCCTCGGACAATACAAGTTTCACCGGTATACTTTTTTTTTTAATAATATTTTAAACATTAGTAAAGATTTCCAGAAAGTTACAGGATTGCACTATTAATCATAGAGTCACAGCAATCGTTTAAATGCAGTTTATGAATGATCACGCACGGAAGTCACGCACGGATGTTGCAAAGTTGTCAATTTCATGTAGTTATTTTTATGGAAATAAATTGCTAGAGAGTATTTCAAGTGAAATATTATACTTCTGCGACTCATATTTTAATATATTTTCGATGAGAAACGGCAGTCATCAATTATTTCTAGCTAGAGTATGGCGTTTTGAAGATTATTGTACATTTTTCAAAATGTAACAATACTATTATTCAAAAAAATAAAATTGTAAAAATGTGTATATTTAATTTATTCAGATTAGCCTAAAATATGATAAAAATACTTTTGTTATAATTGTTCTTTAAGAAAATCAAAATAGTATGCATATTGCATAAAGTCCCAGCTTTTAATTGCTAAAACAAAGATAAATAAAAAATCACGCACAGAAATGGAAATGCCCATCAGCATATAAATTAGCATAAGTGCCATTATATGCACCAGCATATATATCAGCATGTTTTATCAGCAGATGTATCAGCATATGTACTGTCATATGTCTTAGCAGATGTGTCAGCATATGTATCAGCATATGAATCAGGAGATGTATTAGCATATGTATCATATGTATCAGCGTATGTATAGCATATGTATCAGTAGCTTCTTATATACTAGTAATTTTGTTATACAAATTTTCAGTTGAAATATAAACTTTAAATTATAATTGCCTCAATGTACCACACTCTATATCCTAAATCATGGTATTTAAAATTTTTAATTTTATCTCTATTAGTATATTTACTTATTACTACCTCAAATTTGTAAACATATAAAGGAAATTAGATAATGGTGGTAAAGGTAATATAAAATTACTTTGATGTAACACAGAGAAAACAGGTAAAATAAATATTGAATACTCAACAAGAAAACTTTAAAGGACATTCCATTTTTATCTAGAACATAGATGAGTTTTATGAGATATCTGACCAGACTATCAGATAGTGTTCAAATGACATTGCGCAACATTGGCAAAAAAAAGGAGCGCTATAAAGATTATTATAACTAATATCTTGAAGATCATGCTGCAGTAGACTAGTTATAGTACACTTGGCTCACAACCAAAAGGTTTCGAGTTGAAATCCATCCTGCACTACAGATGTACCATGATCAATCTGTTTCTGTAATGAGTCAATTACTGAACCCTGAGGTTACTGAACCCTGAGGTTACTGAACCCTGAGGTTACTAAACCCTGAGGTACAATATTTTATACATCAACCTAACTTAAACAAATTCACACAACTTTTTAACTCTGGTTTTTAATTAAAAAAATCTAACCCATTGTATCATCAAGGTACATTAACTAGATTACCATTTTCAAAACTTGATGATGATAAAGTCAAGAATTTTACATTCATTTACAACAAGGTTTCATTCAAATTACAGATTTTCTTCTAATAATTTATTACAATTTAGTTCTAATCCATGCTACATCTATGAATACTGATAATGACTATTTTAAATATCAAAAAAATCAATTGTTAGATTGTATTCTGGTTACTTCTACAATTTACAAGGAATTAATTATGAAATTAACTAATTAGTTCTAAAGTTTATCATTTTCTTAAATTCGTAATAATTTAGTCGCAAATTTTATACAATTTGCATTCATAAATTGACCAAAACCAGGTATGTTTTCAAATAATAATTTTTATTATTCAGGAGTCAACATATGCTCATATAAAATTAAAATCATCATTCATTTGTATCTTCAAATTTTAGTTCTTTGTTTTGCATTTTTATTTCCCTTATTTGCAATTTAAACCTACTCATTGTTACAGTTGAAGATTATACTACAAGTATTGCATCAAAAAAGTGACTTAATTATTAAATAATTTCTATCAAGTCCAAAGATTTTCAATCCACAACATATAATATATATATAACTATATAATATGTTGCCCTTTTTACAAATGGCGGATTTCACATTTAATTGTACCAGACTGTTTTTCAATATAATAAAATTTACAAAAACTTTTTTTTTTAAATAATACTATATTTAAAAAAAACCAACACAACTATGCCATTTTGAGTTTATGCAAGTTTAGAGTTGTAAGCAAGATTTTGAAATTTTTTTTTGATTTTCGTAATTTTAGATTCTATTCACATTTACAACTTTCACGCACTTGTATGCATGTAAATAATTTCCAATTAAAAATTTTACTTTATTGATATATATATATATATATATATATATATATATATATATATATATATATATATATATATATATGGTGTTTCAAAAAATGCCTCAAAAAAAAAAAAAGTCCTATACTATTCTCTGCTGAGACCATGATTTACTGCTAAAGATTTTTTTTTTATATTTGAAAGTCTTAAGGATTCCTTCAGGGGGTAAAGAGAGCATTTTTAAGAGCATTTTGTAAAAATTTTCAAATAGTTTATCTAAGGTTTTAGCCTGAAGCATTTTAATTTTTTTTAATTATATTTGCAAAGACTTAACATAAATAAAATGTTTTCTATTCTCAAATTTAAACTTTAAAAAATTGTTTCAAATAACTATAAAACATATAACAGCAAATAAAAATATTTTTACACTATATGTTTGTTAACACTTTTTGAATAAAATTTTAAATATTAAGAATAAAATAAGAAAAGTAGAATAGGAAGAAGATATTGCTGTATACAAATTTAGTAGCACTTTCTCTAGCAGTTTAAGAATGTAGGGAACATGGTGCTTTACAGTATATTCATATATTCATATAGCTATGAAACTATTAAGTTTAAAAAGATGTCCAAGTGACAGTTTTCCTTTGGAGACCCAGATAAAGGACAAAGATATATTGAAAAGCCTCAATTTCAGTAAAGATAGCCTCCTAGTATCCATACTCCATTAAAAATATCAAAAAAAAGCAGCTAGTGTTTTTTTTTTCTTAATTTTGAGAATTCCTTTAAACCATTTTAAAAATGATACAAAACACTCTAAAAATTACCCTATGAAGGAACCCCAAAACACTCTAAAAATTACCCTATGAAGGATACTACTAAATCATGGTCATATATATATATATATATATATATATATATATATATATATATATATATATATATATATATATATATATATATATATATATATATATATATATATATATATATATATATATATATATATATATATATATATATATATATATGCGTGTGTGTGTTTGTGTCTGTGCATGTAAGTATATATAAGATAATAATTATTAATTAAAAAAAAATTAAATAAAATTTAAACATAATCCTAAAATAGGCAAAGATTGCTACATAAAATAATACTTAAAAAATTTTATTGCAGAAATAAATCCACACCACTAACAAAAAACGAATATTTCTTGTGAATCTTGATTGGTTGTCAAGCAGTGCTACTTCTTTAAAAGCTTTATGCATACTCAATACCCTAAAGAAAGAGAATTCAATGCTCTTTCTTCAGACCACTGACTATGAATATTTTGCTTTCGAAAGTCATTTGAGAATCTTCACTTTGTCTGAAGTGTGCTAATTCAATTACAATGGTACCTAAGTATGATCTAAATATTTTGGTGACAGAAAAAGTTATCATCTTCAAAAGTGCATCAACAAAAATGCCCAGTGAGACAGAAACCTAACACCACATTACAATGCATTCAATATTCAAATAGTGCATGGATATCAGTTTAATTTGGCAAAAAAACAACTAGTAATCCTCAAGAAAAAGATTCATAAAAACAACTATTTGATTTTTTGAAGCACAATAATAAAATGTCTTTGAAATAATCAATTATTAGATTAAAAAACTTTAATAATAAAAAATACCTTCTTCCTTGACCAGTTCCTAAACGTTTCCCATTAAAATATACACCAACTAAAAAAAAAAAAATTATGTTTGTATTTACCTTTTGTTTAGAAACTAAAAACACTTTATTTACCAAATTATGCATATAAACAATATTAATGATGGTCTTAATGTACTTATAAAATTGCTAGCTCTAGATTCTATATCTGCATTAATGATCTTAAATTACTTGTAATATATCTATTATTTCAGACTTACATCATTGATCTAGGTATTAAAAGTGAGATGGTCATTATAATTTAGCTGTTTAACTAAATTGAACTCAAAAATATAATGACTAATGGCCAATAATTACAGAAAGTGCTAATTTACCTTTAAAATTTTGAACACCATTAATGGTACTTAGCTTTATTCTCCTAAAAAGAAAAAAGAAAAATTTTCATAATTATTAAATTAAAAATTTTAAAACGTGAATATGAAGCAAAAAAAGTAAATTATAAAACTATATATACTCATGTAAAAAATAGCATATTAAATATACTTAAGTAAATTAAAAATAGACTTAAATATAAAAAATATTGTATTAAATATACTTAAATATAAAAAATAGTGTATAAAAATATGCTTAAATATAAAAAATAGTATATTAAATTTACTTAAATAAATAAAATATATATATCAAATATACTTAAATATAAAATATAAAAAATATACTTGAATAAAAAATGCATTGTTTTTGTTTGGAAAAAATATGTATTACTGTTTTACTTTTTTTATTGAAAATTTTTATTCATTGAGTACTTTTCTGAATGGTTGGAGGTCCTCAGTGGATTCTGCAAGGTTCTGTACTGGGGTTTCTCCTCATTGTGATCTTTATTAACAACATGCCAGGCCTCACTCATCATGCTTGTAAGCTGTTAGCCAACAAAGCAAAACTAATAGTGGTTATTAAGAAGACCTTCGACTATCAAACTCTCCAAAATGACATTGACCGCCTCGTCAAATGTAGACAAGTGCAAAAGCTATGTTCTTTGACAAAAGAATTAACAACTGCTTCAACACCGCTTTTATCGATGGCCTACATAACCTTCAAGATGACTGACCATTTTGGCAATAACCTTGGCAAAATCTGCTCTGAGCATGACCTCAGCATCATTGTCAACAAACAACTTAAGTGGCAGGATCAAGTCGCACACACAGTTGCCAAGGCTAACATGGCGTTAGCTATATTAAAAAGCACCTTCCACTATTGGGATATTAATAACTTTTGTATATTTTTTACAAATTATGTATGACCACATCTTGAGTTCTGTTCTTTCGCATGGAACCCTTATTATTACCAAGACATTGACGCTCTTGAAGCAGTGCAGGAAAGAGCCACTAAGTTCATAACTCTTTTCAGGCGCTTAAAATATTGTCAGACTAATGACTATAAATATTCAATCTCTATATAGATAGCGTAGAGCTAACCTCATCTAATACTTTAAGATGTACCAGAGCCTCAACAATGTCGAGCTCCAGAGACCAAATCAGTTATCTGCGGCATTAAGTGTGAAAGAAACTGGAAGGGAAGTGTCATCAAATTTAACACTAAGCAGTAGCAAACTATGCCTAACAAGAATTTTTCTTCACTAACTGCGTCGTACCTGACATCATATCTGCAGTATCATTGAATAACTTTAAAAAATAATTAGACACATGTTTTTCTAAATGTTTATTACATGAAAAAAAGAACTGACATTTATCATAGCAAAGCTTCATTAGTAACTATGCTTGCAAACGCTTAAACATTTGTTCTAAATAACTTTTATTATTATTATCATTACTTAACACAGTAAAACATTTGACTTACTTGTACACTGGATGTTCTACCTTGTCAGGTTTTGTTTTGTTATAATAAGTGTTGCAACATTGTTGAAGCTGAGACTTAGGTTCTAACCAGTCTTGACTAAGAATGAACTCCTAATAAAAAATAATAAATGATATGTAATAATCAAACTGAGAGGAATTAATCATTAACTAAGCCTTTTTTTTGTCTAAACTGAATCTTTTTGCAAAAATTTGATTTAGATAAAATTAAAAGATTTTTAAAATTGAAATCATAAAAACAAAAATAAAAACATAAAAATCTAAAGATTTTAAAATATCTCTTTATCATTAGTTATTTATAATGCTTTCATAAAAACAATTTTTTTGTTCTTTCAGATGAGGTTGTGAATTTCACAGGGTGAGGTACTTAAGGTCTGGTATTTTTGAAAACTCATATTCCTTTTTAAGAATAACTTTTTTAATGCTCTCTTAATAGGATAAATTTGGACATCTGAACAGGTTTTAAAATAGGTTTTATTTAAAAACTAACTCTTTACTCCATTCTTCTTTCAGGTATTCAATGCGTGTAATAAAAGAACTATGCAAATTATAAATATTTCCTCATTACCTTAAGACGTGATAAAATACAGACTTCAATGAGCTTTTGACAATGCAGAAGTCCTTTATCCAGATGTAATGCAGCTAAAAATGCTAAAGTAAAAAGTATTTGATAATAAACATTTTAAAATGAGATGTTAAGTAAAAATAATTTGAAAAAACAGAAACAACTTTTTTTTACCTTCAAAAACATCTGAGAAGGTTTTTTCATTGGTTGTACTTGGCTCCTAGAGTTTATAAAATAGTTCAAACTAACAAATAAAAAAGACATATTTCAATGATGGCCTCTAACTGAGCTTTATTTCTAAAATTGTAGATAACTACAATTTTGATTTTCAGTCAATAACTTTAACATTTTTATACCTACATTGAGTTTTTAAACATGTTGAGATAATGATAGACTAAATTTTTAAGCTGCTGTATTTTTAATTGACTGTATTTTCAACCCACTGCAATTTTGATCAACTTCATAACTACCTCTAATCTAATATATATTTTGTATACTTTTTGGTGATTGGTATCAGAGCTGAATTTAAGATTTTTGTCTAGATTTCAATAAAATTGAAAACTTAAGAAAAAGTTTATTTTTTTAAAAAAGTGTCTGGCTAAAATGTCTTTTGAAATAAAAATCACTTAGTCTGATGAAAATTAGACATTTGATATTGGTCAAATGAAGAAATCAAAATAAAATAAAAACAAAAATAATTAGAAAAAAAATAAAATAAAATACTATATGTGTAGACCAAATTAGTAAATTCAAGTTTTTGTAAACCTAACTATGTGACAAATATCTTAACCAGATGAAAACAAAATGCGTAGTAGCCTTTATAAATTTTTTTTACAAGTTAAACTATTTTCCTGCATTGTTTTAAAAAATATAATAATTCTGATCTTTTTACAATCTTGATGTTTTTGATCATTAAAGATTATAATCAAAAAATTTTGATTAAGTAAAAAAAAAATTACAACAACTTACATGATTTGGGTGAAATACAATATATTTGATTAAATCTATTTCTTCTGAAGCTTTTGCTAAACATTTTAGATTGATCAAAGATATCCGCAACAGCTAGAAAATTAATTTTTTTTTTTAAATGAATCAATGAAACAAACAAACAAACAAACAAACCAAATAACAGTTTTCATACCGTCAAGTGACCTTCTTGATGATTTGGAAAGTGCTTATAAAGATAATCACTGCAAATATATTTTAAGATAGCATCGCCTAAAAACTCAAGTTGTTCATAATTCCCTCTAAAATCAATGAATGCTTCATGTAAAAAAACAAACAAAAAAAACAACAAACAAACAAAAAAATATATAATAATAGATAAAAGAACAGTAATTAATAAAAAAATATATTTATTTATCTAACTTAAAGAGTTTATTTATCTAATTTAAAAACCATGAGCAAAATGTAAAATATGAATAAAATAACCTTTTATATAATAAACTGACAATAAAAAATTTATATTTTGTTGAAAAATATGGATAAGTACCGAGTAATTGTTTCATCATCAAGTCCTTTAACAGAATGTGTTAACGCTTTTACTAAAAGACTTATATGCGTAAATTCAACACCAATTTTCTTTTCCAGGGTAACAAACTTCTAAATTTTTTTATGTTTTTGTACAAATTTTACATAACAAAATCTGCATGCTATATTTAATTTGAAAAAAATCTACCTGCAATGTCAAAGAATCTTTTATAAGATGACGATCACCACTTTCATATTCAATCTGAATGTATATAAATATATATTCAAACTAATATTATTTAATTTAAAAAGATTAATATAAATGTATATCTTAATATTGTTGTAACATATATATATATATATATATATATATATATATATATATATATATATATATATATATATATATATATATATATATATATATATTAGGGCTGTCCAAAAAAAAAAAAATTTTTTTTCAGATTTGATTGCATAGTTGTTTATTTTGTGCCATTTGACATATTAATTAACTGTGCAAAAAATCTTTCCGATCAGATAATGTTTAGGGGGTGCTCAATGACCATAAAGTTTTACGAAAAATGTGAAAAACATGGAAAAAGTAACAAAGTTCCACAAATTTCTAAAACCCGGTTAATTAGATTTTTCAGATTTGATCAGTTTTAATTATCTCTAAATATTAAATTCTGAATACAAATTACAATCCACATCCACTTTATACTGGTTTATTAGCAGAGAAATTAATGAAATAAAATACTGCAATACGACTAAAGTTCTGCGGTTTTTGTTATATCAGAATTTTTCCAAAATAAAACACTAAGACTTTTGACTCTTTGTCATTGATTAAAATACGAATTATAAACAAAAAAAATTATTGTAAAGGAGTAACAGTTTCTCAAACGTTATCAACTACTAAGTAGGTCAACTCAAAAACATATGAGCAATTAACATTTAATTATCGTAATGTTATAGTTCGTGCAATGTTAATGCTAGCGAGGACTATAACTCTTCAGAGTACACTTTCTGGCATCTGGCACTCGTTTTCTGTGATCCTCAACCACCTGAATTAACCTCTGCATTTCAGATTCATTCCTTGTAATCGATTCATTAAACATCGACATTAAAGCCACAGATCGTTCGGCAGCATCATTTACTACTTTCAATGAATATACTAAATTTTTTCCTTCTTGGTATTCTGGGGAATCATTCCAGGTAGCTGGACCGTTGTTGAACAGAAAATCAATATCAACCTTCATTGACCGCAATGCACTTGCTGAAACTGATGTCACCAGCATGTCCAGAGATTTCTTCTCTAGACTTTCAATGTTCTTTAATTTGATCAACCTTTCAGACCAGTTCTCACCGTGAAATTTCATGTTGGAAATCATTTTTCGCTTCTCTTCCGTTTTAAGTTTGTTTGAAAACAAAGCTAGTGGGACCAATTCTGGTGAAAGGTACCACAAATGGTTTTGAAATTTCTTGACTGCTGCTTCGGAAATTGTTTTATTCACAACTGCAAACTGCTTAAGTTGCTGAAACAGAAACAAGTCATTAACTGGAGCATCGCTGGCATTTGGGCATGATATCCAAGATTTTACATAAACCAGACTAGCAAATAAGCAAAATTCACAGAGATTTTTTTCCTCTTTTGTGGTCAACTTGAACTCTTCACGAAATAAATTAATCTTAAAACAATAAATAACCTTGGCCATCCAGCGAGCCATGTGATAAGCACCAGGGATCTTGAAATGATAATTTTTCTCTTCTTGATCAGGCAGTTTTCCAAGTATTAACAGACAGAGATCCATGATTTCTTTGTAGTCATCCCTTGGCATTTTAACATGCAGGTTTTCTTTGAGGAATGCCATCACTTCATTTTGTAGTTCTTGCACCAGGGGTATTTTCATTCGAATGTCATCCAGAGGTTTAAAATTTCCTTGATTAACTTTGGGCCAATATTGCTGAAATCTCTGGAAAAGAGGTATGTTGGGACCAGATGATGGTCCAAATAGTGATCCAAACACTCCTGCTACTATGATCTCATGAACATGGTGTCTGCAAGCAAAATATAACAAATTTCTACCTATATGTTTCTCTAGAACTACACATGCACCATTTTCGGAGCCAGCGTTAGAGGCTGTAGTATCAAAACTCATTCCAATAACATCACCAATTATGTCCCAGAAATTAAGCAGATGAATAACTGCTTTTGCTTGGGTTTCTCCAGTTCCAGCTGATAGTTTTGCTATTCCAAGTATTTTGTCAACATTGTGACCTGTCACACCTACAGATAGCCGGTCAACATTTGCTTTAGTGTCTGCAGAATTTGTACGATCTATCATCAGTTTGCCATCCCAGTGGACGATTAATGGTGGTTTGTCCAAATCGCAGAATTCAGTTCGAACAGTGGCTTCAATGTTTGATTGATGATAGGTTCGTTTTCTATGGACTGTAGAACGTGACAATGATCCATCATCGAGGTTCTGTCCACCAGCCCTTGTAATTGCTGCTGCTAGTATAGTAAATTTTGTGTCAGATTAATTCTGTCTAATGTTGATGAAACATCAGGCGAGTCAAGAATTGTATCTAAGATACATTGTCGTTTTGGAGTACTTGCTAAACTTGATTCAGCTGACCCTGAAGAACTTGCTTTACTGACTTGTTGTCTGTAATAAACAGGGATTTCTATCTCAAAATCTCTATCAACCATTTTGTCATTATTAACAGCATCGTTATCGTTGTCATCACTATAACTTTCGTCATGTAAAGGTTCAATAACAGGAACTATTGCACTCGCACCAGATTGTCTTTGCTCTTCTTTTAGCTTTCGTTCTCTATCTGCTTGTTTCCTTGCTTCATTTCTTGCTTCTAATTTTGAAAGTTCTTTGTCCTCTCCAAACATCACCATTTTTCTCTGACATCTCTGATCCAATAAAAATTCTTTATCTTCTTCAATTCTGATCGTGGTTTCAGCATCCTTGTGGGCAATGTCAAAAAGTAGGCCAATGGTGTCTGTAAATGATTTCTCTCTTGATTTCTGAGAATCTGACAATCTGGATTTTTTTTTTTTTATTAATTTAAATTCCTGGACTAAAGTTTTCAACTTTAAGACTACATTCGGATGAAATGCTGTCGGAATACGGGCTTTATTCCAAATAATAATCAGTTCATCAACAGTTGTTTTAAGACTTTCAGGCACTGACTTTTTGGTTGAATTAAGATGATAAAAAAATGTTTTTAAAACATCAGATGTTAAGGGAAGAACTTTATCTGGAAGATTTGGCTCTGGTTGTCCAATTAAAAAGATTTCGGTTTGAAGTCGTGTAGAGATAGCAACACGAGATGATGCTGCCATTTCAATGATAACTGAAAAATTATGAGAAAATCAAAACTCAATACCATATTATACAAACTTATCATTCAGTTGTTGCTTTGCTGCAGCAATATATAATAATAATTATTACTAAAGAAATTAAATAAATATTTTCAAATTAGAAATTATTATTATCTGCACTTAATAACAAACAATACACTACCAGACTACCATGCTAGTTTTCTGTAATAGGTTACTAAGGTTAGGTACTATCAAAATATTAATACATTTGTTGTCAAACTGAAATTCCAAATAAAAATAATATTTATACTTGTAAACCTTTTTATTCTGTTTGAACAAATTCTAAATTGAGTTAAATAATAGTATTAAAATTATGAATACAAATTTTAACAAAATGATATAAACACAGTTGTTTTAAACACTAGCAGACATTTTTTAGTCTGGTGCCCTGATGACAGTTAATCTGCTGCACTTTAATTAATCTATATAGCACGCAATCAGACAATATTTCAGTGGAAAAAATCTAACTAACCAGGTTCTAGAAATTTTTGGAACTTTGGAACTTTTTCCACGTTTTTGACGTTTTTCGTAAAACTTTATGGTCATTGAGCACCCCCTAAACATTATCTGATTGGAAAGATTTTTTACACAGTCAATTACTATGTCAAATGGCACAAAATAAACAACTATGCATTCAAATCCGAGAAAAAAATTTTTTTCCTGTGTTCACATGAACAGCTCTAATATATATATATATATATATATATATATATATATATATATATACAAATATATATATATACAAATATATATATATATATATATATATATATATATATATATATATATATATATATATATATATATATATATATATATATATACAAATATATATATATATATATATATATATATATATACAAATATATATATACTATATATACATATATGTTACAACAATTGAAAAAAAAATTGATTTATTTTATAATTGTTTGAAAAATTGAAACATTCAAAAAAATAAATTGATCGTTTTTTAAAACAAAAAATTGATTTTAATAAATTGATTGTCAGAAAGCTATTAGACTCAAGATGATGTTAAAAATTGCTAAGAATAATGAAAAGGCTGCATGGACAATAGTTGGAGGGGTCAGACTTTTCTCCAGAGTTTTTTAAAAATTGGAACAACAAGTGCTATTATTTAGCAGACAAGAAAACAAGATTCAGTCAAACACTTATTAAATACTCTAGAGAATTCTGGAGAAGCTTTTCTAAGACTATGACAAGAATGTTGTCTAGAGCATTTGCTGTAGAAAAACTTATTTGAGATATGTTTAACTGAATTAATTAAAAAAATCAAAAATTATAGAAAGGCGTTTGTTCTTAAGAGATTGTGATTAGATATAGCAGCTGAACAAGAGGGTGAAAACCATGGAGTATGAAACTTGACTTAAAACTGATGAGAAGGAATAAAAGCTTCCATACCTGCCTGAATGCAAGAGGTTATGTAGGAGATGCATTTATCAGTAAAGAGACAAAAGACATCAGCCTAAAGACTATGAGGGATAAAGTTGCAAAAAAAATTCCAGTTAGCTTTTTGGTAGTAGTAAGTAATTCAACCCTCGGAATTAGTAAAAATGAGGTCGGCAATAATTTGTTGACTTTAACCTTTTAAAGGTCGGCAAAAAAAATTTGATACAAAGGTCTTACCATAAAACATAGAAACAAAGGTTAGTAGTAAGGTTGGCCTAATTTCGAGGGTTGGTAGTTTGATGATAGAATTTCAAAGATGATAGAAGTCCAAAGATGAAGTACGAGATGAAAGATGAAGTATGAGATAAAAGATTTAAAGAGAAAAGGAGAAAAAAAAAAGACAACACAAGCTTGGATCACAAAGTTAACTGAGCAAGAGTTCGAGAAATTATGAAACATAAGTTATGAGCTTTAGTGTCAAGAGGGTCAGTGGTGTTAGAACCAAGTCATTCAGTGTGATGATCATTAAACTTACCAATAACAATAACATTGGCTTAGGGATAAAGAGAAAGGGATCGGTCAATTTGATCCAAAGTTACGTCTACAAGAGTACAGTATTGATAAGCAAGAGACTGATAAAGAACAAAGAGAAAGGCAAATGAATGAAGAGTGTTAAACAGAAGCACATAAAAAGCTAGTCATAGGACTCAAACCTGGCTTCACGGTAGATAAGTGAATTTATACATAAATATATACCCAGACCAAGCTTGCGACTATTGGAAGTTTTTGCTTATCAAAGGATAACAGCCATTAAAACTGAAATTTGAAGATGAAACAGCTGTTTTATTATCAAATCTCTGAGAATAATGAGATCAGAAGAATAAACAGCAGAACTGAAATTAACGTCACAAAGAGCAAGAAAAGTGAATTTCGCAAGAGGTAAGATTCAACTGATAAAAAGTTACTTTAAAAATCACAAATATTTGTAAAAGATAGATTGGAACTGTTATATGGTTATTTTTTCATGTTTAATATTTTAGTGATGTTTCAAGATAAAAAAAGACTTGACTTAATCGTAGATTCAGTTTTATATGTTTATGATATAGCTATCTATGTATATGATACACCCACAAGTAATGAGCTAGGCAGTTGCTAAATTGTTAATTTAGTTGTTAATTAACCAAAAGTCATAATTTAAGGCTCATTATGTGGCCTTGACAAGGCACACCAAAAACATTGACAGGGACACTATTCATGTACAACATGGCACTGTTATTATGGCATTCTGATATTTTACAGCTGATGATAGAATCAGTCTCTCTGAGAGCTACCAAGTCATTCAGTGTGATTTTGAGGCTAGCTGATAGTTAAGGAAACTATCAGCTAGCCTCAAAATCATTAAACTGAATTATAGAGCTGTTCCCACATTAGGAGGTAAAGGGAAGAGTTGAATACCCATTATTAAGAAGGCACAAGCAAAAACCCTTGAGTCGATTCAAGAAGATCAAGCATTCATTATCCTATGCAGGAAGCAATGTAAAACAGGTTTAAATCTATAGCAGCCTAATAGATAAAGATGAATTTGGTGGACAAATATTTATTTCCAAAATGATACCTATATGTATATTAAACTCTGCTTCTATTTGAACAAATTGACATTACTATCTAATCAATAAAAGAATCTTCAGTTTAAGTCAAAGGCATAATATGTAATGAAAATAGAATAAATCATGTAATCTTTAACATGTTTTGAAGATGCTTCTAGATAAAACCTAGTTGATTAATGATGGTATTTTCTTAATTTTCAATTATATCATTTAAAAAACTAGTCAACATTAATTTGTAAGGAGTGCATAAAGAAGCAAGATGAGATTATCAAATTAACCAATTTAAATGAGGTTTCAATATTTCTATAGCTAATCGAGAGACAATCACTTACAACTTGCAAATATTAGATTCAATGATGAATGTCAGCTAACAATTAGAAGACTTATTGATAATAGATGAAAAAATATTTTCAATTTTTGAAATATGTTTTTAAAGATAAAAAGGAGAGACAACTTATTTGTGGACCTGCATGGACAATTTACAACACATGCAATGGTGTTGTTGAATTATGTAGATCATCATTAAATAGCTCACATCAATGTCATTCATAGTGAATTTTATACTGATTCGTTCAAAAAGAATTTAGAGAAGCTTTTGAGATTCAGGAGGAAAAAACTGGTGGAAACAAAAAACTAAAACAAAATGTTTCTTTTGTCGTTGAAGCTTGTATTTCATTTAATTAATATAAAACCAAATATTATTATATTTATTGAACTTTGAAATTTGTGAACAAGAAAAGGGTAAAGGCTCAAAATAACAAAAATTTTTTTGAAGTAGATAGACAAAACAACTATGCATCTTAAAAGGGGAAAATATAAGAAGTATCAGGAAAAACTTTTAGCATATGCTGCCATGGAAATTACTCAACTGATATTAAAACTTTTTTTGTCCCAACAAAATTATTAAATTATGGCTTTTATTGAGACAAGAAAATAAATGTTATTTTTATTAACCATATATAAACAATTTTATGTCATTTTTAATCTTTAACTTTGCTAAAAAAAATCAAAACATTTCATAAAAAAATAAATAAATAATTTTAACTCTTACTTGCAATGGATCTTTTTTATATTTATTCCAAATTGTTGAAAGCTCCTTAAAGAGATGTTTATATATATATATAACTAGTGATGCGTAATTAGTGACACAAAAGTTAACTTAGTTTTGCTCGTAATATAATCTTTTTCATTAAACCATATAAATTTATTTTGGTAAATTGAATATTCTAGTTTTATTTAAAAAAAAAAATTATCCAAAAAAAATGTTAAACGGCCAAGAAAGAGCAGCTCTTCAAAAAAGCGTCAAAAATTTTTTTGTAAAAAACCCAAAAGCGACCAAAGCCGAAGCTGCTAACCATTTTATTAAAAAAGTCGTCTGAAAAAAATTGATTGGTCGTCTGAAAAAAATTGATTTGACATTTTTACAATCCCTTATGAAAGGTATCAAAACTAAATTGAGATTAATAGCCGATCAAGGCGTTCAATCGATTTACAAAAAATAATTTTTAAAAAATAAATATTGTGTTATTTTTTTTTTTAAATGAAAAAAATTTTTTCTTTTATTTCTTTAAAGGGATCCCTAAGTGCTCCTAACATATGATCTCATATGAAAGAGCATAAAAAAAAAATATGTAAGTTTTTTTTTCTTTTTCACTAAATTGTAATAATAAATGCATGCTAACAAAAAGCAATTGCCGAAATCACTAAAAAACAACTCCATTTTGATTTGATTTTTTCACCATTGAAACTCGATTGTTAGTCGTTAAAAATCACGTTAGTACGTCACAACAACTTTAGAATATCTACTTCGATTTTCAAGTAAAAAAAAAGTCGTGATTAAATAGTTAAGTTTTAATCAAGTTTTTTTAATTAGTTTTGCAAAAACAGTACAATGAAAGACGTCGTTAAAAAAAGGTTATAAGTAATAGTTAAACTATTTAATACTAATATTTAAAACTAAACTATTTATTAGTTTAGAACTTATAAAAAAGTCTTACAGGGCTCGTATTAAGCGTATCGCGATTGCTACACACACTTTTGTGATTAATTTTTTCTTAAAAAAAAATCTTTTTGCGACTTATTTTTTTTTTTGGTTGATTAATTACTTTTTTTCTAGCTTAGCATTTTTTTTAGCAATTCTTAAAAGTAATGTTTTTATCATAAAGAACGTCACACAAAATTTATTATTCTGAATAAATAGATGAATAGATGATTTGCTCTTTCGCGCGGAGATTTTCTTTCAACGTAAAACATTTTTCAATTTAAATTACTTTAAATTTTTACAAGGTTGTCAAAGCGAAAAGTTGAAAAGTTGGTTTTTATCTTTGTTTATCAAAACTTCATGTTTAAAATAAGGCTTACAAACGTTAGAGCAAAAAAATTACTGACTTTTATTTGCATTTTTATACTGTTTGAAAAAAAAAACTAATAAAAAAGAATTAATATATAATTATTAATTAATATATTATTAGTTTATTCTTTTTTATTAGTTTTTTTTTTAAACAGTATAAATATGCTAATAAAAACCAGCAATTTTTTTACTTTAATGTTTTTAAGCCTTATTTTAAACATGAAGTATAATTCGATTTATTAAACCAAATTTTTTTGTTTTATCTTTTATTGGAAAACTTGAAATAAAAAAATTAAATAAAAACATCAACCATTTAAATGAAAAACTTAATTATATTTAAACTTTTATTAGTCCTTTATTCAAGAAACAATAAATTATAAAAAACGTGGTATCTAAGTTTTTGACGATGTTTTTTGATTTATTGACGATAATTTTTTCCCCCCATTACCGCACATCGGCGCAAGCTATAAGAGAGGGGGGGGGGGGGGGAAGGAGAGCAAAAAAAAAAAATTTTTTTTTGCGATTAGATTTTTTTGCATTAATTCGAGGCTTGTCTTAGATAAATTTCTAATAAAATGTCTATTCAACCTTATCAATTTGAACCAAAAAAATATATCAATTTAACATAAATGTTAATTTAACTAAAACATTTTACAATCATTATTTTTTGTATCAAGCAAAAATGAGAGTAACCGTCACTTTTGGAACCATAAAAATTACTGAAATAAATTTATTTTTTTACTAAGGAAATATTTTAAATAAACTTTCATATGTCTAAGTCAATATTCATTTGTTTTTAACTGACTAAAAAGAGTTTAAAATTTGACCCTCAGTCGATGTAGCAGCACTCCATTGCGAGTCAGGCTATTTGTCAGTCGATGTAGCAGCACTCCGTTGCGAACCAGGCTATTTGTCAGTTGATGTAGCAGCACTTCATTGCGAGTCAGGCTATTTGTCAGTCGATGTAGCAGCACTCCCTTGCGAGTCAGGCTATAAGATAGTCAATGTAGCAACACTCCCTTGTAGCAGCAGGCTATAGGATAGTCGATGTAGCAACACTTACGCATGTTTTAAAAATGTTTTTTTTAATAAAACAAAAACAAAAACACTATTAATTAAAAAAAACTTTCTAATCATTATTATTGCGGTTTTTTTAAAAAACAATAAAATTTAATGTACTTCCGCATTAATTTAATTGCTTTGACTTTCGATGACAATCAAATACAGCTTAAGAGCCAAGGTAATTAAAATTGTAGTCGAAAGAGACTTTTTTTACCATAAAAGTCTCTTTCGACTACACTATAAGGATATATATATATATATATATTTATATATATAAATATATATATATATATATATATATATATATATATATATATATATATATATATATATATATATATATATATATATTTATATATATAAATATATATATATATATATATATATATATATATATATATATATATATATATATATATATATATATATATATATATATATATGTTTTATTAGCTTAACAGTAGCTCCTATTCTGTAGACCACTCCTTATTCAAGCATCGCTGCAAAAAAATGCCAGAATAATTTTTTCTGGAAACATTTTTCAAACACAACTATAGCAGCCATAGTGCTTGTGTTTTAAAATTGAGAAGTGAGGTTGTCGCTGAACATGTGCACTTCTTTGACTCAATTAGGAATAAAGTGAAGGATTTGGTCAATATACAGAATAACTGAAGACTTTGTATGATCTGTTGAATCAGAAACTATAGCAAATGTTTTTAATTCAATGTCCCATACTGCAAAGGTCACGATTGAAATTTGGTTTTGACCAAAATGAGCAACTTGTGGATCATTTTGATAAAAACACTTAGCGCTATCAGCCCAGTCAACTTGGATTACTTTAGTTTCAGAATCAGTATTATTGAAACTTCTTTCAATTTATTGAAAACTGTTAATTGTTTTTTTTTATAATTATGTGTTTAACAAATTTATCACGCATCACTGATATGTGCTGGATAAGTTCTGTTCGTCACTGATGTGTCTCTGGATAAATTCAGACATATTTCATCACTGATGATCACATGATTGACTCATCTGATTTCATCACTTATATGTTTCTGCATAAGTTCTGTTTAAAAGATTTCTTAGAAATCTTATATTTCTTAGAAATCTTTTCGATGTTTGCATATGTTTTAGCTTTAGGTTTTCTCCACTCATCCTAGGATACTTTGAAGTCAAATGTATCAACAGTTTGCAAGAGTTTTTTAAACTTTGCATGCAGTACATTTGTTATATGTGCTATCATATGTGTAAGAAATACAAACAATTTTTTTTATCATTTCAGATCCAACTTTGATTGGAGACACTTGAATCAATTTTGCTAATGTATCTAATAAATAAGGCAAATCACATTATTTTATGCAAACTTCAAACACAAACATTTTGCTAAAATTTTACAGATTTCACATTGCGTTGGCGTAGCTCAGAAAATTTTCTTAGTGCAATTTTTATGTGCTGATGTCTTTCCTTGAAAAACCGGAAAGCTTTTTTCAGTGTATGATATAAATGATGCATTGGAATATTGTTTGTTTTTCTGTCAGGCATTTAAATATGTATTAATTCTTTTTAGCTAATTGATTTTCGGGAAACTTCATCTTTATTATAAGAGTTCACAACAAATAAACCATTACTTTCAGAAAGTCCGTACAGCTTTGCACATTCTGGTAAAGCTGGATTTTTTTAAAAGCTAAACTATTTAACAGAATAAAAAGAACTGCTATTTTTTTTTCTTTGCATATGGTAATTTAGTAGTGCTTCAAAAACTTTTTTCAATGCATTTACTCTTTGTTGAATGTTTTTAAAAGATAAATTCAGTCTTTTAGATGGATTTATAAGCTTCTTTTTAAAGTGCAACTTTTTACAACTTTTTTTATTTTAATAGACAATAAATTTTTCTTGATAACTTTTAGATCTTTCTCTAGACATTTTTTTTATTAGGTCTTCGATACACATAGTAAAGCTTGGTATTCTGCATAACATTTTTTTCTTACTTCTAATTTGGATTCCATTACTTAAGAATGTACTATATTTCAAAAATAATTTGTGATAATACTTTACAATATAAAAAGGCAAAACTTAACTAAATTGAAATTTAAATTTTGATATGCAATTTTGAATTACTTCATTTATTCTTACGCTATTTTATAAAATGCTAATTATAAAATTGATGGGTTTAGTGACACAACAATTTTGAAACTATAATTATAAGTTAATAATGCTTTTTATTAATTTTTTTGCATATTGAAAGCAAAGTTACCCTCTATTGCAGGATTTCTGAAAAAATCTTACCTTATAACATTATTTCATATTGATAATAATTTTTTTCTTCTCTGTGCAAATATTTTTTACTATAATTATAAGTTAATAATGCTTTTTATTAATTTTTTTTTTGCATACTGAAAGCAAAGTTACCCTCTATTGCAGGATTTCTGAAAAAATTTTACTTTATAACATTATTTCATATTGATAATAATTTTTTTCTTCTCTGTACAAATATCTTTTACTCAAAATTTTTTTAATAAGAAATTTCGAAGTTCTTAAACTATAATAATAATAAAAAAAAGTTTTAGAAAAAAAAAAATACAAAATTTAACTCTTCCATTGTGGAAACAGCCATATATCTTTCATGCTAATTCACCTCCCCAAGGTCAAGAAGGCCACTACAGTCGAGGAGGCTACTATAATTGTAGTTACAACCCTCTTTCAACTCTATAACTCTAAAACACAAACATTGAAAAACAAGGCCACTGCACGGAGAAACAAGTTAAACTCGGAGAGAGAGATGTTTTAATGTATATAAATGTTATATATACTAAGATGTTTATACATATAATATTAATACTGCAATTAATTGAATTAAAACTGTCGTTTCAGACAGTTGCCTTCAGGTAGTCTCAAGTAAGGAAAATTGTCATTATTTTTTGTTTAATAAATTTACAATTAAAATAAGTAGTTTTAATGAATAAATGTTTGTTTGCTGTTGGTTGTTTGTTTTCTAATTTACTTAGTCTGTTTAGATTGTTGTAAAGGTTATAAACAACTAAAAGATTTTTATAGCACAGTGTAGTTTCTTTTAGTTTCAGTTTTTTCTTTGCTTAAGAATCAAGTTTTATCTTAAAGAGGAACTGGAAAGAGCTGAAGGGCTTTTAATGAGTTCAATTCACTTCATTATTATTATTATTATTTTTATGCTTAAAAAACAAGAATAATACTTTTAGACAACTGATCCCGATTTGAGTAAGTTTACTATTCAGTTTTATTTCAATTGAAATTCTATTTATGTTGAACATAATAAACTAAAATAATGTTAAACTAAAATAAGTTGTGTTTTGGCCTTTTTATGTCAACAATGGTTATGTCAACAATGTTATTTGATGACATAAAAAACTTATTAACTAATATCATTTTATATACATTTTTATATACAATTAAAATAATTACAATTTTTTTTTTAGATTTAGATTATTGAAAAATGTTTCTGAAAAGTTGCTGTTAGGGAATAACCAAAAACTTTACTAAATCATGAACCAATTGCTAAACTAATGATGTAAATTGCAGAGGTTTATGTCATACATATTTAAGAAATCTCTTTATTTTTTTTAAATCTTTTTTTTATATATTGCATAATAAAAAACATTTTGCATTTTTTGCTATTTTAAATAGTACAATAAAAATTGTTTTATAGATTAGAAACAAAGTAAGATTATAAGAATAAGATAGATTATAATTCTAATACAAATTTTTTCATATATATCAGAAAATATGTCTGTCTTTACTTAAAAGGTGTGATACACTTGAAAGATCGCTATAATCTACCTTCACATAATGAAGTTGCAGTTGTATTTGTTGTTTCCCCACAACCTTCCAGAGAAGATAATATTTACTCAAAAGGTCATCCATAAAAAAAAGGTCAAATATATCAAGTACGTCAGCCAACTTATATCCTATGGTTTATCCACTATTTTTCACTAGAGGTGACACTTAATTGGTGCACAATTCTGAATGTGATATACTGGTTAGAAATCATGTTTTACTGTATCAGTTCAATTATACAACAATTGTCTAACTTTCAGTTAGACAATTTGTTCAATACTTTATGGCAACAAACTGTTTCAACAATATGCTGTTGATGCATATGTCAAAATTGAAGACCAGCATCTTGTTTTATCAAAAAGAATTAAAACAAACTGAGAAACATGCAGTATAGTGCCTTACATGAACATGTAAACAAAACTGCAAACAATGATATTACTAGACCAGGATGTGTAATAATTTTACCTACATATATGTTGAAAGTACTAGAGGTTTAAAAGAAAACTTTGAAAATGTTTTAAAAATTATGGCAATCATTAAAAAGTATAGCAAACTAGATCATTTTATTACTTTTTAATAGAAAATTTATATCTGAGTCAGACTGCAAATAATAGGCCTGACTTGGTTACCAAAGTATTTAAACTCAAATTATATAACCTCCTCGATGATGTTTTCAAACATGGTGTATTAGGTAAAACTGTGACCCATGTTCAGGTTTTTGAGTTTTGAAACAGTGGTTTGCTGTATGTTTATATTTTACATCACTTTGCAAAATATGATAAACTTAAAACTGCTCATAAACTTAAAACTGCATTAACCTAAAACTGCACAGGATGTCAATCATTTAATATCTGTAGAAATTCCAGATCTGATTGTTAGTTGTGAGCTTTGTGATGTTATTAAAAAGTGCATGATTTACAGTCCATGTGGCACATTCTCATCCAAGTTCACCTTACGTGGAAAATGGAGTGTACAGCAAAAAAATCCTAAGGAATTTAATGTTAAAACAGCAGCAAATTATAATGGTTATCCACACTATAGGCCTTGTGACAAAGGCTTTATTACCAATATTATAGGCAAAAGTGTGAATAACCGTTGGGCGGTACTTTAAAATCTGGGGTTATCAAATAAATATCATGTTAAATCTTGCATGCTTGTAAAGACTGTTAAATATTTGTACAAATAGATATACAAGGATCATTACTGTGTCAATATTTTGATAAATCAACAAATTATTTATGATAAGGTAAACATTTTTTTAGATTGTATTATGTTGGTACACCAGAAGCATTATGACACACACTACTATATGCCTTAAAACTCACCTTCCTGAGAATCAGAATTTTAATGAGGAACATGATAAACATTGTAAATAGAAGATTAGACAAAGGGGTGATAACAAGGTGATATTAAGAACATATAAAGTTAATAAATACTCAATTATGCTTTATATGCAATTGATAGGTTTACTACTTTGAGAAATTTTAAAATAAGAAAATTATTTCACAAATAGACTTTTAAATGTATAAAAGTTTTTTAATAATTTGTATTCTGGAGTATAATTAGTGACTATTTTTCAGCAAATATTAATGCGAGAGTAACATCTTAAGATATAAATAATTTGTATGGCAATAAAAAAAATGTATATTATATGTAATATATAGTAAAATAAATATACAAAACATATTTATATCAAAACATTAAATTTAAATATGTGGAAGTTAACAAAAAAAAAAAAAGGAAAGTAATAGAAGTAAATACAGCAACAAAAATAATTCCTATAAATGGTTTGCTTAATTAAAAACAATACCTCATCATCATTGAAATAAAGATTTGTTATAAGAGAATCAGCTTTTTCTAATCCTGCATCCAAATACACAGCACCTATGTAAACAGTTAAAAATTTTATTAGAGTAAAAAACATCTTCTGAGCTAAAGTCTTATTTTATAAATAAAACAAGAAAAAATTGCTTTTTTTTTTTTTTGCATCTCCCTAAGACAAGAAAAAACTGCTTATTTTGCATCTCCTTAAAATGATACAATACAAGATTTAACAATGTCTTTTTGTGATATCCAATTGAAAAGATAACTTTCCTTAAAAACTGAGGTTTTTAAAATGCAATTATTATTTATAATTGCAATTTAAAAACCTCAGTTTTTTTAAGTATATTTGTAGAAAACCTTTCTTTAAGCAATAATTAAAATAATCTCCACAAACTTAAATAAAAATTGATTTTTGTAAACATTTTGTCAACAAACTATGTACATAAAAGAGGAATGAAAACATAAATTGTTTAATTAGATTTCAACTTGAATAAATTTCATTATTCTCATGCTGTTCCCAAGATTTTTTTTCCCCCGATATATTAGTCTTAGTCTGCTAAAGATCAGTCTGGTTATGAACTACATAATAACAAAATAATTTTTTTCATAATATATTAAAAGATACCTATAACAGCTTCAACAGCATTTCCGAGAAAATATCCTAAGTTTTGGAGTACTTGAGACCTGATCATATTAAAATGGAATAAAGAATTATTTGAAAGGTTAAAAATTATTATTTTGATTATTACACATATAGCCTGGTAACAACTTATAACTGTTAAAATATGGTCTGGTAACAACTTATAACTGTTAAAATATGGTCTAGTAACAAATTATAACTGTTAAAATATAGTCTGGTAACAACTTATAACTGTTAAAATAGTCTAATAACATACAGCCTGTTATTGTATAATCTCTTAATATAGTCTGTTGTCTGCTAACTTGCAATCTGTTAATACACTATTATATTCTGTATTAGTTTTAAAATGATTTTTATCTATGCAATTATTAAAATAATTACCTGTGTTTCACGAGTAAAAAATCAACAAGATTAAGTTTCTAAATACAATTAAAAAAATATTTAAAATTGTATACAAAAACCAAGAAAGTCATTAACGACTAAAAATAGCATTCTCACATTAGCAATAGTTCTAAGATGTTCCCCTTGCACAAGTCCAGAACGAAGTATACTCAACTTTCCAGGTCCTTTTTCTGGAAACATAAGGAAGAGATGCATGCTGAAAAATAATCCATTTAACTTACAGTATCATACTATGTTTTAATAGTTATTCAACTTGTTGATCACTTTTATTTATATTCAGATAGTGGTGAAATAAATTAAAATTTTACAACCTCTTTTGCCTTTGGAGTAAAACTAGAAATTTTTATATGGAACACTTTGTGGCTATCTTTTACAAAAAATAGTAATCAACTTTGATAAAAAAAAAATAGTAATCAACTTTACTCAAATTAACTTAAATTTAGCTAACTCAAAATTTAGCTCAAAAAAGAATGTATTCAACTAAATGATAATCTCTGTATATGCAAGAATATTAAGTTTACAAATAATTTGATTGGTGCGAAATTAAAGTCCTAATAACATCAATGAATAACATCAATTAATAACATCAATTAATAACATCAATTTTATTCAATTCAGAAATTAAATTCCGAATAAAAAGGAAAAAATGTCTTTTAAAAAAAAGTAAGTTAAGAATCAAAATTATAAAACAAGATTGTATTTAAAACATGAAATTAAATTTATCAAAATTTGATTTCATACTATAACTTTACTTTATCTACATTGATTTTCTTAAAATATTTTAAAAGGAAATAATTACTAATGAAACTTTTTTAACTTTCTAAACTTTTTATTAATAAAGGAGTTTTGATTAACAAAAATTTGATATAAAAAATAGACTCCCAAATGATGATTCTCACCTAGTAAGATAATCCAATACTGCATCACCAAGAAATTCTAATCTTTCATTATGTAGACAACTGTCCATAAAAAAAAGTATAACAGCTTTTAAAATGGTGACAACAAAATTATTTTTATCATTTATAATTATAATAACTCTCTCTCATAATAACTCTCTCTCATAATGTTTTTTTTCTCTCATAATCTATTTTTTTTGAAAAGGTGGCTCATTCTACTTTCAAAATAAACACCTCATATATATATATATATATATATATATATATATATATATATATATATATATATATATATATATATATATATATATATATATATATATATATATATATAAATATATATTTATACATATATATGTATATATATATGTATATATATATATATATATATATTTATATATATATATATATATATATATATATATATATATATATATATATATATATATATATATATATATATATATATATATATATATATATATATATATATATTAGGGTGGCCCTTAAAACAACCTTAAAACTGTTCCCATACCCCTAAATGTGTTCTCTAATACAAAAACACTAGGTTTAAAATATTTTTGAATAAAAAATATTTAAGGGGACCCTCAAGACCCATCGAATTTTTAATGGGTCCAATATTTTCAAAAAAAAGTATTTCAAAAATATGTCAACCTGGTACTCAAATGAAGCGAAATTATATAAAAAATTCAAAAATTTTATCCATTCTGAAAAAATTTTAACTTATCAAAATTATCATAAAAAAAACATAAAAAATGCATTTTTTTCATTTTTTGCTAAAAAAACGTAATATTTTAAGTGATAAAACCAAAAATAACAATTTTATTCAAAATGAATATTATTTTTGAAATTTTTATATAATTTCGCTTCATTTGAGTACCAGGTTGACATACTTTTAAAAAACCTTTTTTTTTGAAAATATTAGGGTATTATTTGCGTGGCCATATGTGTGCGATCACATATGACCACGCAAATAATACTTTTGACGATTTGACCACCGTTTTTAACATTTTAAAAATGCCCTGAAAAAAATTATTTTTAATTACATCAAAAATAAATAACTTTGAAACTTTTATCTTTACTAATGTTTTCATATTAGCGAAATACTTTTAAATCAAGTAACAGTTACTGTTACCCTTTTAATATAAGTATAGATGAAAGTTGTATAAATTTCATCTATACTTTCAAAATGAAACTTTTATAAATTTGTTGAGAAGAAAAAAAGACAAACTTTTGAATTAGAGACAGCCGTTTGAAATAAACTTTGATCTTTCCTAATGTTTTTATATTATTAAAACGCTTTTAAATAAAGTAACAATTCACTGCTAATGATTTTTTTACATTAAAGTATTAATGTATTTTTCTTTCGTCTTTAAATAAAAAAAACTATTGATTTAAGTTAATATACTTGAAATATAACAAATTTTTTTTGCAAGAATGCAAGTTAAAAAAAAATATATAAATATAATTTTATTTTTATAATTTTTATGATTTTTTTTTTGTCTTTAAATTAAAAAAAAATTTGAATTATTAACTAATAAAATCAAATTATCAATTAAAGTTAACAAATCTGATATTGGATTTCTGACAAAAGAAAAGATTTAATTATTTTTCTTTTGTTTACATTACTACGAAGAATTGTAAAGTTTTTTGTTTTTATCTTTTAAATGTGCATATTTATTAAAAAATCGTTGGAAGTTGTTACTTTGTTTAAAAGGGTTTCACTATGTCTATATATTAAAGAAAAAACATGTTTTTTTTGTTCATAAGTCGTCATTAATATATTAATATAATTTTATATGGTGCGGTAACAAAGCAGACGGGACACTACTAGTTTTACATTACAAAAACATTAGTAAAGATTTAAAGTTATTTATTTCAAATGTTATTTATTTCTTGTTTATAATTTATTTTATTTAAGTTTTGATTTTTGTTGTTGTTTTTTTTGTTTTAGTCATTTATAACTAATCTATTTTTCATTATTTTTTTAAGATTTTATTTCTTTTTTTTAAAATAAGTGTTTTTTTAGCTTCTTTATAACTAAGTTAAGTTTTCAGCGCTTTATTAAAATGTTATAACTGTGGTCAAATTGTCAAAATTGTACTTAAATCAAAAATATTTTTATTAATTTTTAATTTAATATATAAATCAAAAATATATATTTTTTTAACTTTGAATTAATTTTTTTTTAATTTTAAAAATTTAATTTTACCTTGACTTTGTTTCTTGTTTTGAAAACAGGAATGCCATTACGTTTGTAAAGTTTACAATACCTATAGAAGTACAAAGTAGTAATAGTACAAAGTAGTAATAGTTCAAAGACCTGTTTTATGTTTTTTTACTATTGAATATTATTATTGTTTATTATTATTATTATTATTACTATTATTTTCTTTTATCATACTATGTATTTTTTATGTACATCTTGGCATGCATGTGTGTTTAACATGTAATACTTTTTGTTTTAATATAATACAAAAGTTTTTTTAAATTAAAATTATGAATTGATAACTGTTTTAATTTTAAATTGATTTCTTGTATCAATAAATATTTAATTTAAATTAAAGCTAGTTATATAATTATAATATAAATAATTAATTAGGTTTCAGAGCATTTGCTCTTGAGATCAATTAATACATAATTAACTATTTTTATTGACTCAACCAATACAAACTCTTTTTATTGACTCAACCAATACAAACTCTTTTTATTGACTCAACCAATACAAACTCTTTTTATTGACTCAACCAATACAAACTCTTTTTATTGACTCAACCAATACAAACTCTTTTTATTGACTCAACCAATATAAAACTCTTTTTATTGACTCAACCAATACAAACTCTTTTTATTGACTCAACCAATACAAACTCTTTTTATTGACTCAACCAATATAAAACTCTTTTTATTGACTCAACCAATACAAACTCTTTTTATTGACTCAACCAATACAAACTCTTTTTATTGACACTATATAAACCAATACAAACTCTTGTGAAGCATTGATAAATGCAAACTTAAGCTATTCTAACCATTAGAGGCTCAAGAGGTAAAGCATGAGATCGAAAAACGAAACAGAAACCACTTTTAAAATAAACTAATAACACATTAAAAAAAAACAATAACATTTTATCCAAGTAATGAAAGTACTTGTCAAAAATCATAAAAAAAAAAAGAAATTCAAATTATAATTTATTAAAATGTCATCAAAGCAATTTGAAAATCAGAAAATCTTGCAGATTCATGAAGAAAACCCATTGAGAAACTACAAATAAATCTCAAAAGCTACTTCCAATATCTACTGTTGGAAGGGTTATAAAAGGATATCCATCAAACGAGCTTAAGAATCAAAAAGAAAAACATTAAATAGTAAATCAGTGGTAAATAAGATTTGTTGTTCTCTTGAAAGAAATCCAGACTTGTCTAACAGAGAAAGTACAAAGTTTCTGATTTTTAGGTAAGGAAAGTGAATTATATTTCAATTGTTTATGGCAGTGTAAGCAACAAGTATAAACACAAACTTGCGGACAAATATGACCAAAAGTTGCTCTTATGGCAAGTAATTTGTAGTTGTTGAAAAAAGAGTAGAGCTTTTGTGACGTCATCAATTGTGACATCAGAAATTTATATTCAAGAGCGTCTTCAAAAGTGACTTTTACTACTCATTCAATTGCAGGCTAGAGGTTTGTTTTGGTCTAACTTCATGCCACTATGCTAAAAAAACTTCGGAGTGGTATAAATTGAGAAGGGTTAATTTTGTACCAAAAAAGCTCAATCTAACAAATTGCCCGCAATTGTGGACCATCGAAAATTAATAAGCACCACGGCAATGTACAATTATTTTTAGAAAATAAAAAAAAATTTAGAAACTAAAAGTATTTTTTTACTCTTTAATTTCTTAATTTTTAAATTAAAGAAATTTGTAAAAAGTTATTTTAAATATTTTTTAAAAGTTTTTTCTTTCTCTCTTGTTTTTGATTTTATGCTTTATCATCTTTACCCCCCTTTCAAGCTAGATTTCAAATAAACAACCAGCTTTATTTGTTTATCAAAGCTATTTATTTTAATATATCTCATGTAATAAAATAGTTGGAAACAGGGGGTCACACACTTTAAACTATTGATTACAAAATATTTAATAGATTTAATTTGATTCCTATTATTTCATCAAAATGTTGCATATTTAACAAATAACCTTTTCTCTTGAATCCTAAGTTCTGTGGTCGGGAGATCTTCTCAACAACAGGTTTTTTCTTTCCTAAATTTTGCAAACTATTACACAATGTTGAAGTCATAGAGGACTGATCCAAAAATGATGCATGAGTTAGAGCTACCTATAAAATTCACTTTTGTTTATTGAAATATATTTGTTTAAACAAATAAAACTTAAGAAATTATTTAAAAGTTTTAAGAAATAATCAACGTTTTTAAAAACCTTTAACAGAGATTTGTCTTTGAAGGAATATTTTATTTTACTTTCGAGTACAGGAAGTGAAGCCATGAACAATAAATAATTCCATACAAGTGGTAAATAAGAGGTATGCTAGAAGAGAAAAAATTTTTTACAAAAAATTCTAAAATAAAAAATGTAAAATATTAAAGTTACGCATAACAAAGAATTCTAAATGATCAATGCCATAAACAAAAATTAGAAAAAGCGGTGAAAATTGTTATTAAAAATATAAAATAACAACAAAAAAGATTAACTAATAGGAAGAAAATGCTGAATAATGTAAATAACAAATGAATTTTTACTAAATAACTCTAATATACAATATATCCGGCTAAATAAAGACAAAATTAAAATTTTATTCTAACTTAAATCCAGAAAACTGCCAGAGTTAAAGTTAGCATTTTTTAAATCAAAACATTTCAATTGGGCAACAATGAAGTAGTAAATAACACGTACATATGTCTGCTGAGGATGGGGAAAATTTAGGTAAATACTTCTTTAATTGTTTATTTTAACAATGTGAATGATTAATACGCTCATATGAGATTTCTAAATTCTTATTTTTATTCTTTACAGGTGTGTTTCTCACATGAGTCTTAATAACAATGAACAATATTGTTCCTATTTTTAACTGGAGTAAAAAAAAAATCATATTATAACAATTAAAAATCATAAGATGAAAAAGACCTTGAGTGTATTTCAAACTACTTTGTCTCAAAGACTACTTTGTAAAGACTAACCATGGTAATCATGGTAACTAACCATGGTAAACACTTCACAGCAAATCAAATTTATGACAACTTAACAAAAATAACTAAATTATTGATACTGAAATGAGGAGTAGTAATAATGCCCATTTGAATGTTTTCTGACAGAACTTTTAAACATCAAAAAATATATATAATGCTGCTAACAAAAAGCACAAATTTATTAAAAATAAGTAAGAATACTTTGTTTTTTGGAATGTTAGATAGAGTAATACCAGACCTTAACAGTTAGATATACTAGACTTTAACAGTTAATATATTGGATCTTAACACTTAGATATACTAGACCTTAAAAGCTAGATATAACGGACCTTAACAGTTAGATTAACAATTAAATATACAAAACACTATTTTTTTTCAAATCTATTTAAACAAAACATTAAAAATAACAACATTTGATGTTTAAAACATACAGTAGGAGAGATAAGATCCAAACAAAAAATTTTTATTCAAAAAGTCAACTTTGAAAAGTTTAGAAAAAAAAATCAAAAAGCATTGAGAAAAAAAAGGCAAGCATCAACTCAGTTAAACACTAAGAAGCTTGGACTCAAATCCAGATCCAAAAAAAATTGCAAAATCAGCATTTTACTGGCTTTTTTAATGTAGAGATAAAAAGCTCATGGAGAAAATAAAATAGTGACATAATTGATTTTGTTTAAGTAATAGTTTTGTTAAGTTTTGTATCATATCATAAATACATCAGAGAAACAACTGCTAGTAGTATCTTTTCTGATATTTATATACTCAAGAGTCACAGCGAATTTAGTTTACCAACAGCATTTTAATTACCTTGATGAAAAACGTAAATCGTTTTAAAGTATTATATTATAAGAGGAAGACAACAGTAATATAAATTTCAAAAATTATATATGTGTGTGCGTCTATTCGTGTGTGTGTTTTTAATTTATATTTAACTTACCTGACAAACATCCCATTTCAATCCAGTTTTATAGTAGCCTTTACTGTCAACACGCACATCAACCCATTTTTGGTCTTTACTTGAGATTTAAAGGATTTTATTTTATTTTAAGTTATTTTAAATTAATTCAAAATCATTAGAAAATAAATTTTGAAAGAAATATATTTATAAAATAACCTTTTATAAAATAAAAAATAAAAAAACATTTATTGTTAATACCTTATAACATTATTTTCTTTTTCAATTTGATTTTCAATTTCGAGCATTAATTCTTGGTTTTCCTTAGATGCACTAAAAATTCATAATTTTAAATATTCAAACAATGAAAAGAAACACATTAAATCAAGTATTTTTTATTAGAAAAAATATTTTTCAACAAGAATTGCGACTGATGTCACAGGACTGATGTCACAGGACTTTAAATAGGATTCTAAATAAAACTTGAATTGCATTAAACACCTGGTTTTGACTGCATTCAAAAAACTTTTTTAAGATTTTTTTCTCCTATATACTTAATTATACTTAATCACCTTTTTTGAAAGAAAACTGCATATAAAGTATTGTGTTATAAACATTTTGCAATTAGTCAATCATGGTAAAAGACATGGTAAAAATTGAAAAATGATTGTAAAGAGTTTTAATCGGTATATGTTATCAAAATTTCTTGTGAAGGGTTCTCAATTCATATCATGAAGTCTGGTTTAGTTTAGACTATAGTCTAGAAATTTGAGTCAATGATCAAACCACTAAAACATTAGTTATGCTTCTAAAAAAAGCGATAATGGTGTAGTTGCAGAAGGTACTTCTTAAGTACCAAATTTTTATCATCTTTTAACAATGATCAACTTGATTGTTGGTTAAAAAATTTAAATTTCCTATGAAAGTTCAGTGTTAATTTTGATTTTTTGTTTAATGTCTGACTTAATCAAAAAAATTTATTTAGTTAAACTATTTAGTTAAAATAACATATTTCATTGCTTGGTTTATTTTTTGGTTTTATCTGATTTTTATCTCATGAATAATATTATCATGATTACCCATTTGAATTAAACTATTTAAATTAACTGAGATTTAAATCAACAAGTTTTATATTACAAAATATAAACATAAACTTTTATATTACAAAATTAAAATTTAAATCAATAAGTTTTATATTACAAACTTTAAACTGAGTGTGAAAGTTTCGATGTTAAGATGTAATTCCAAATATTGAAATAAACAATCGCCTAATTTGTCTCTTGGAATGTTCCAATTATTCTTTATTTATAAGTTTATTCCTATATTTGTTGTTGTTTGAAACATAAATTAACCTTTTTTTAACAGCATTTTTAACTTTCCTCAGCTTTTCATTTAATTCATAAAGTCTAAAATTTAAAAAAATTTAAGTAAATTTAAAAAAGTTTTAATAAATTTATGGCATTTTTATTATTATCATTATTATTGTTATTATTATTATAATGTATGTGTGTATGTGTGTGTGTGTGTGTGTATATATATATATATATATATATATATATATATATATATATATATATATATATATATATATATATATATATATATATATATATATATATATATATATATATATATATATATATATATATATATATATATATTTATATCATGTTAACATTATACAACAAATAATAAAAAAATCACTTAAATCAACTCACTTTTTTCCTGATTTTTTTAAACCAGATTGCATTAGTGTAGTGTGTATAATGATTGGTGAACCCTGGAAATATGAATTTTAAAAAACATTATGAAACATGTTTTATTATATAAACGTTTTAACTATTTAATATCTAATAATTATCAAGCTAAAAAAAATCAGATTAAGAAAATATATAATAATCTAACTAATGTTTTTGTTGAAAACTTCCCAAAAATATGAATTAGTTCAAACTTTTTGTTTATTTACATTTGAATTTTAGTGTGCTACTAAGTAGAAAGTTAAATTCAACGGTTTGTAAAAAGTTTAATGGTAAAAAAATTCTTTTTTAAAGGGGTTAGAGTGATTTTCAGACTTTTTAAAAAATTGAGACTACAAATGGGATTCTGTTTTTAATAGACCTAAACACACCTATCTTGTAGATAGGTGTGTTTAGGTCTGAGCTTACAAGGGATTCGAGGACTGGTCCTTATTAACTTCCTATCACTAACTTCCAAAAAATAAGTGATATTTGAATCTGGTAAAGTTATAGGGAAATGCTCAAAACAGAAATCACCTATCTTCTGGGCAAAGTTTATGGCATATCTAGTATAATTTACACACTTTGACAGTAACAGAGCATCGCCGGCTGATTCAATAGTCACACCCGAAGATTGTGTATCCATTCTGCCGATGTTGTAGGAAATTGAGTAATCATCCACCGATGGATACCTGCAGCGGACCTGTATTGCTGAAAAACATCCTCTGGGAACGTGGGATCTTTTAGGATCATGCCGTTATCTACAGTAAGCACGTTGCTCTTTTGTTCCGATAGCTGTATTGCACCGCCGATTTTTAGGCTCCTGATTAGGATAAATTCTCCAATCTGCTCGATAGGGTATGTACCTATCTTTTTCATGACTTCTTTGTTGTGTTTAACGGACTCCCAGACAATTACTGATTCTGACCATTCAGTAGGCACACAATGACGCATGACACAATAACATGGACTCTTTGTGACATATTGTTCTATCATTAAAGATCGCCCGATAAGTTGTCCTTCGTATATTCTCATATTGAAGTGCATACAATTCGTTGTTTTTGTGCGCAACCATGAGCAATCAAATTCTGAAACAAATCAAAGTCTGAAACTACTGTTCTCCATGCGTTAGGGCCAGCTACTTGCAGCGCTCCATATGGAGCAATTGTAGTGGTCATGGCTGAGAGACATTCTCCTTGTGTTACAGCTACCTTTTTTGAATTTTCTCTCTTGACTTTTGGTTAAGGAAGTTTGATTGCCATGTGAGGGTGACCTTTTTGACATAACAATGATATAATATTACTGTCGTTGTTTGTGGTCGGTAGACATAAACATCTGCTACGAATGTCTTTACAGAATTGTTTAAGGAATGCATATTATGTGCACAAGATAATATTGAAGGTAGCTGATAAACTCCGATAGGCTGCACCTTTGTACAATCATAAACTTCACCGATAAATAACCCTGTGGACAATGTAGGTAAGACGAGTAAGCATGAGAGAATAATGGAAATCATTATATTCCATGATCTGTTTATATGGAAAATTGGCAAAAGTCTATTTCTGGTCTGTTTGTCATCTTGTTGTCTAATCGAAAATACTCTTGTTTTTGCGGAAACATGTAGATTTTTTTTTGTCTTCTCTAAATATTTTTGCACTACTTGTTTAAGATGTTTTCTTCTGGTTCCCACGTATTTTGAGTTGAAGGAAAATCCTGCCATTTAACTAGGTATGGTGTTTTACCTTTCCTTTGCTTTTTACCTATTATTTCCTCCATTTTAAATATATCCAAGTCGTCAATTTCGTTTTCCGGCAAGCTATGTTGTATTTTATCCGTTTCTTTTTTATTGGTTGCAAATGTTACTTGTTTCTGACTATTATATTTGTTTTGAACAACTTTCTCTGGTACAATTTGACAGTTATTACTTGGAGCTTGTTGATGGATGGGACTCACAAGAACGGATTGATGAGGTACGTCTAATAGTTTTGGTGGTTGATTATTAACATTTTTCTCAAAATAGGTGTGTGCAATACCATTAACGTAGGATCTCTGCGGTAAGGGAAAGTCAATTGTCGGAAATAATTTTTGGCTTAGTTTTTTGACACACGCCTTAACATTAGGCTTTTTACAACCAACTGCAGTTGTAAACATATTGTGAACTGTCTTTTCACTCATTGGGACGCTGAACTTGTTGTCAAATTTAACTAGGTGTTGCCCACAGTCAAGTGCAACTTTATATCGGTGCATAAAATTGTAATCCAGAATTAGGGGTTGTGTTAGATTCCTACCAATCACAACTTTATGTTTAAACGTATTACTTCCTATGCTAATACTACATGAAATTTGTCCCACAAAACTAATTCGAGTCCCATTTGCCGTTTCAAGTCTGCCGCAATAAGGAATCGGCTCAGCAACTTTATACTTTATACTGTCATAAATGCTTGAATCGACTACACTACACTTCGCACCCGTATCCATAAGAATAATTATTGGTTTACCATTAACTTTCCCCCAATTCTCAGAGCATGGGTCCTCTTCTGGATCCAATTCGATAGCAGTACAGTGCAGGAACTCGGCTATCCGTATGTGGACTGTTTCTCGGTACATTATTTCGAAATTGTCTATTCGGAGACAGGGTATTTCAAAATGAAGTCAAGTTTCGTGTATCATGGTTCCAGCGGTTAGGTTACGATGGTATATGTTGATAACACATTTCCTCTGATAGCGGTAAAATTTGGTCGGAGCACAACCTTTGGGTGTGCCCTACTCTTAAGCATTGATTGCATATAATTTGTCAATCGCTGGTAAGTAGGTTGCGACCGATTGGACGAAATCTTTCATACTGGGGACGACGGTGATTTCCTTGTTTTAACAAGTCTATTTCTGTTTGTAGTTCACCAATACGTTGGTTTAAGTTTCGGTGTTCGCGGTAGGTAGAAGCCATAGCTGTTTGCTTTGGGGGATTAAGAAGTGCATCTAGCTTGGCTTCCAATCGAGATATAACTGAATCCGATACGATTGAGTGTTGGAACTTAGCAAAAGCTACTGCGACTTGATAATCAGACGGTTGCTTTAATTTAAGAGCATCCCGCAGGTGGGGCTTTAGTCCTTTAATAAATAGGCTTAATTTTGTCTCGTCATCGATGCCTAACTGCTGACTAAGTTTATAGAGGGTGTTGGTGTAGGAGGTGAGATCGGTATCCTGTGACAAGCTAAACAGTTCCATTTTCCGGTTCCACGCAATATTTGCATCATCGTAATGTCGCCGGAATTTCTCTTGGAATTGTGTGGTGTCTCATAATAAACTAGAGTGCTGCCTTCTAAATAAAGTGGAAACGCTAGTAATTTCCTTTCCTCTATCCATTGATTGTGCAACGCAATACGCCGAAAGCTGGCTAACCATTCAGTAATGTCTTCCACTTCTGTACCCCTGAAAACTTTCGGATCTAGTTCTTGGCTTGGTTTTAATGCCAAACGTTCTAAAATTTGCTCAAGTGACATGTTGTTCTTCACTTCAGGATTTGTTGGAGAACGACTGGGTTCGGTTTTAAACGGGTTGGTGTCTGACAGTTTTAAGGAGTCGCTAGAATCGGAGAAGGAGTCGTTGAGAGAGGTGTGAGAATTAATGTCTGTATCACCGCAATGAGTTGTTTCAGTAAACAGTCAAATTTTCCCTGAGCGTAAACGGCTCATAAGTAAACATCAAAGTCAATATAGCTATGGCTTTGTTCGAGTAATCTGGCGTGAGTAACAATAACGAGATAAACTAAAGTTAATCGTTACTTACGTAGGTAAATTGATCGGCCCAAGCAGAGAGAGAAGCCTCCAAATGTTACGTAATAGATTTCTCTCATGGTTATACGTTATAGGTTTACTCCAAATTGTTATAAAGTAACTTTATTTAAAATAAACAACTTTGTCTTGTTTACCCAAATATAAATAATCAAATATATATAAATACAATTTATATTATTCTCTTAAATATTTTGTCTTTTAATTAATTAGTCTGATATTGCTTCACTAACTCTTCTGGATGACCATCTACTTCAAACCCGACCTTATATATCCATACACATATCTATATTCATATACACACCTATATCCATATCTCGCCTTCTTCGCGTTTTTATACAATTTCCCCAGACGCTAGACGCGTTTTGGTTCTTGAACGAATTGTTTAGTTAATATTGTTTATGTTAAATCTTCTTTACGGTTCACCTAACCCAAGCGTTCCACTTGAATGGTTAGTAACCTTCGTAAGAGTGAGGCTAATGTTGTCATTTACAGTAAGGGTAATGAAGTTGTCATTAACAGTAAGGCTAATAAAGTTGTCATTTACAGTAAGGTTAATAAAAATGTCATTTACAGTAAGGTTAATAAAGTTGTCATTTACAGTTAGACTAATAATGTTGTCATTTACAGTTAGGCTAATAAAGTTGTCATTTACAGTAAGGTTAATAAAGTTTTTATTTACAGTAAGGCTAATAAAGTTTTCATTTACAGTTAGGCTAATAAAGTTGTCATTCACAGTAAGGTTAATAAAAATGTCATTAACAGTAAAGCTAATAAAGTTGTCATTTACAGTAAGGCTAATAAAATTGTCATTTACAGTAAGGTTAATAAAGTTGTCATTAACAGCAGGTATAAAAACAAGATTTAGTTAAGCACTTGTTAAATAGTGGAGAGTTAAAGTTAAAGAGAATTTACAAGAATGTGAAAATCCAGAAATAAAATTTTGGTAATGACAATATATAAGATTTTCTAAAAAATCTCTAGAACCTAACTTCTGAGATAAAATATGAGATTAGTAAACTGAGAATGTAACTTGGTGTTAAAAATTGTTGTATTAATTTCTTGTAGTGATAAATAAGACTTCTTCTTGGAACAGTCATTAACTCATGAGTGTGTTATCATCATTTTCTGTTGGAAAAACTTATTTAAGGAAGATTATAATAGGAAATAGCAATTGCACAATGAAAAAAAACATTCATGATAAGATAAAGATAATAAAAATGACAGAAAAACACCCAAAGATATGTTGTGTTTATATCTAAAATAAATCTTAGAAATAAACAAAAAAAAAATCAGCTTTTTTGTAGCTTCACCACCTTATTTCCATTTCTAATATTATAACTTAACATAATTATAAGCCTAATATAAGGCTTATGATTATGTTAAGTTTTTTTTCTATAAAAATATCAGGTTTGCTTAATGAATGGTGCGTTTACAGTACAGGTTTTTAAATTATATAATATACACACAAGCTTGGGTTTTTCTTTTTTTAATTTGCAACTATAGTAAAACTTTTTTTATTGCATTTCAACTTATGAACCATTTCAGTTCTCAGATTTCAGTTCTCAGATGTCTTTGATGAAAAGTAACTAAACTCTAACTTTTCTTAAATAACTATTTTTATTTAAAAAGAACAAGTATTTTATTTTTATAGACAAATCTATTTTTATATTTAATTATTACCAATAATATTATTTTTAGTTTTTAAATTTACTTGCAGCGATGTTCATTTTTCTCCAATAAACTAATAGATTATTGTTAAACCTTTTTTAACATAGTTTTAAAAAACTTTTATAAATAATAGCAAGTTAGCAAGTTTTCATTGAAATTTGTGTTTTTTTTTTTAAAGTTAAAAAAAAAAATCAACAAGCTCTTTTTTCTATTGCTAAAAGCAATTTGGCCTTTAAAATAAACAAGTTTTTTGCTAATATTTTGATAAATAATTTGTTTTGGTGAGTTTAATTAACTCTAAACATTTTTCTAAGGTTTATTTAGGATATGAACACAACTTGTCTCTGCACTTTGGGATTTCTTTAAAACTATATTGATGAACTGCATAAAACCTTGAAAATCTTGGGAACTAAATACAAACATTTCATTGATGTGAATACAAGTGTTTAATAGAATCTGATAAGTTTAAAAAAATAAAATTGTAAAACATACGTAAACTTTAATAAGACAAATATTTTTGAGAAACAATTTTTCATATTTTACAAAGGAATTTTAGATTATTTCAGAATATAAAAAACAATTTAATATTTATTTTTATTGTGTAGTTTAAGTTTATATGTAGAATAAAAAATATGTAAAAAACAAGAACAACAACAAAAAAACAAATACCGATAAACCACATTTTCCTCCACAACTTATTATCTCATCAACTCTTATAGCACGTGGTTTCTAAATATAAACCCGTCAATTTCAAATCAACTTAATGTAACAAAATAAATTTTAAAAATTATTAAATGAAGACAGCAAAGCATAAAATTTAAACCTTTTTTGGATTAATAACTAATGATCCCAAACTCTCATAACAAAGTTCTTTCCATTGATCGATTGTATAATGAGTGTCTGTTTTAGGCTTGAAACAAAATAGATTTGTTCAAATAAAAAATGATATAAATAGTCTGCTTAATAAAAAACGTAGTTTAAAGTGATTTTTGAATATTTTAACAATTACTTTAAAAAATGGTTTAGTTGATTTGATAAGATGCTTGATTATGACAGACATAGAAAGGATTTGAAATATTTCTTTTGGCTTATCTCTAGACAAATCTATAAAAAAAAAAAATTAAAATACTTTTGGATATTTTATCAATCTTCACTATAAAGTGAAAACCATGTTAAATAACATTTTGTAAAAAACAACAACTTATATCTTATATATATATATATATATATATATATATATATATATATATATATATATATATATATATATATATATATATATATATATATATATATATATATATATATATATATATATATATATATATATATATATATATATATATATATATATATATATATATATATATATATATATATATATATATATATATATATATATATATATATATATATATATATATATATATATATATATATATATATATATATATATATATATATATATATATATATATATATATATATATATATATATATATATATATATATATATATATATATATAGGCAATTCTGCGAGAAAGAGAAAAAGCAAAAAAGTTATGAAAACACATACTAAACTCCAAAACTTTTTATTAACTATTTTAAAACACTTTTAAGAAAAAAAGTTATTTAAAAAAATCATTTTATCATACCATAGCATGGTTTTAAAGTTGTAAGGGTTGTATAAACCTGTTTTGACGCTTATTTACAGTCCTTTTGTGTGGTGTTAAAATTTATACTGTGTATCCAAAAACCATTGATAATGTTTTATTACATTTATTTCACATATTATATATGGTTTAATAACTATTTATACTTTTTTTCTTACATCACTGATTGTGTAATTATATTTGTTCTTTTTAAGCATTGGATTTTTCATTATGACTGTCACGGTTACGACTGTCACGACAAAAAAAAAACACAAAAAAGCTTGTAAAAACTGAAACTCAGCATATAATAACATAAATATGTGCTAAATGGTAAAAAAAATCCTTTGGTTTGTGTATTTAACACACACCAAAGGATTTTTTTTTTTTTTTTACCATGCCATTTACTGCTTTAAGTCTGACAAAGTTGTTTTGTTCAGAAGTGGTAAAAAGTAAGCGTTACGACTGTCACACTACTTAAAGTTAATTTTTGAAAAAAAGTTGAAGACTTTAATGCTGCAACATTTACATACTAAATTATATGATAGTATTTCACATTTCTGGAAAGTTTTGGTTTATTTTTAATGACTTATAGAGTGTCAAATGTTACGACAACCACTCTCGCAGAATCGCCCATATATATATATATATAAATAAATTGCCTTGGTATAAACTTTTTTATATATATAATAATTTTATTATACATCTGTGATATCTTGCTGACCTAATTTAATCAGTATCATCAGCTATATCTAAAATATATATATATTAAAAAAATAACGCACCCTTATTAAAAAAAAACTCTGACTAATAAAAAAAACACATCTTTAATAAATAAAATAATAAAAAAAGCATAAAAATAGAAAAATTAATAAAATAATGTAATAACAATTTAAGTTAAAAAAAAATTTTTTAATTGTCTCCAAGTTCTCATTATTATATTATTATTTTAGACCTCTTGATGTCATTTATGACATTTATTCTTGATGTCTTAATTTAATTGTTTGTTTTATTACTTTTTTAAACATCTTTTTATTATACCTGATGATACTGATCACAATAGGTAAGCGAAATAATGCAAATATATCATTAAGTAGTAATATACATAAAATATGCATACACACAGCTTTTTTATAGAACTTAAGTTATTTTAATATAGATAGAGAGATTTTGCTTGGTAAATTAAAAGGTGGTTTTATTAATAATATTGTGGAGGCGCATTGAGTTTTTTTTTTTTTAAACCGCAAAAAGTAGCAACTTATATGATTAATTTCTTATATTTCTATATAAATGAAAGTTGCTTTTTCATATTTAAATATTTTTAAAATATATATAAACACGAAAAAAAGATTAAATTATAAAAAACAGGAAGATACAAATGACTAAAATCAAAACAATCTTTTCAATGATCATATGCGCTTTTGCAAAGTTGCAATAAAATATGAATAAAAATTAAAAACTGTTACACAAATATTTTGATAACTTCAGTTAAACCATAAGAAATAAAAATTAATCATCAATACACCAATAAATAGTAAGAACACTATCAATGATCAATTGAGAAAGAAATGTTTAAAATTACTGAACTTTAAAAATTTCTTGATTTAACATTATAAAGAAATTAAACAAATTTACCTTACTAAAAGTTTTTTGGATTGGATCCACAATCTGTTGTGGTATATTTTATAAATTTGCAACTTTTTTAGGCAATTTTAAAATATTGCATTGGTTTATTCTTAAGAAGAACCATCTTAAATTATAGTTTGTTTAACAAAGAAGCTATGATGCTTTAAAAAACTTGCTTTTTGGTTTGTTTTACAAGTTACCCATTATGCTTTAAAATATGCTTGCTTTTTGGTGAGATTTTTTAATGGTCTGCCCATATCTTATTTGTCAGATTTTTTATGTCTAATGAATAGTGTTTTAACAAGTTTTTTTTTTCTGTTTTTTTTTTTGAAAACTTAAAAATAATTAAAAACTTTAATTTATTTTTATTTATTTTAAACTTATATATAACAAAATGCCTAAGTAACTAAAAATAAACAGTTTTTTACAACTATTATGAATTTTTTTCTACCATAATGTTAATTTTAAAACACTTGTCTAAAAAAAGGTGATTAGTTGGAAGCATTAAAATTAAGGAGCAAATGCTCATGACAACCAGTAAAGTTACATATTTTCATGACAACAAGTAAAATCACACACATTAACATTTCTGCCCTAATAGCATCTTTGAAGCTGCATAAAACAAATGCTGACCGAAAAAAAATAATAATTGTTAGTACTTGTGAGTTAACAATGTACTTTTTGTATTGGGTGCCAACCTTAATTCATTAGGATTTTAAGAGCTGATATTATATATATATATCATGAATTATATTATAATTCATGTTATTTTTAGATACAAATACTTTATAGAAATATATAAAGTAAAAAAAGCCCCTTTTTTCTATAATTTATGAAATAAAAAAACTGGATGGATTTATTTGCTAAATTCTTTTAAATATTGTAAAACATTTTTAGATATATTATTTTAAGAAATACCTTCAACAACTCGAACAAATCTTGGCATGAAATGGAAAGGTCTACAACTTGTCGATGAACCTAATTGCAACATATTTCTTAAAGATCAAAAAATTTAAATGTAAAATAAAAGCAAATAATATTTAAATAATATTTAAATATTATTATTTTTAAAATATTATATAAAATATATATAACATGAAAATAAAAAAATAATATTTCTTTATAATATATTATAATAATATTAATAATAATAATAATATTTTTTATCTCTAAAAAATAATATTTAAAAGTCAAATGTAACAAATATTTCTATGTTTGCTTTTATAAACAGTAAACAAATATTTACCTTTAATATTCCAATCATATAGCTCAAAAATATCGTGGAAATAATAATCACAAATTAGATCCACATCTTTGATACAAAAACCCTAATAACATAAAAAACATTTTTTTTGACAAAAATGTTTGTATACTTTTAAATGCTGTTAAACAACATTTAAAAACTTACTGACAATTATAAAAACCAAATATTTTGAAACTTATAGATTATATTTTGGGTTAAAAAAAAATAATTTTTTTTAAATATAAGCAATGTGTATGTTTGTTTAATAAATTATCTCCCTTAGTCATGACAAAATATGTTTAACAGCTGCTTTACTAACACTTTTTAAGTCGCAATGAAGTGTTATCTTGTTGGTATTTTAATTAATTGCAAAATGATTAATTGATGTCAGGGCTTTAATTGTATCATGTATTGCATAAGGCTTCAATAACACCATGCAACTACTTGACATTCTCAGTTATATTCACACTTGTTCAATGTACTGAGTTTTTTCAAAAAAGGGAAGAAATGAATGAGCTGACATGAGAGATAATGAATGAATGAGATAACACAACATTCAACAATTAACAGATAGAAAACAAAAGGATATTTTTAAATATTATGATCCAATAAAAAATATAAAATCATTTAAGTAATAGCAACAAATATAATAAGCAACAATAATAAAAAAATAATTAGCAATAACACCACAAAAAAAAATGCCCTACAATATGAACAATACACAAATGTCAATATAAATGATTCACAAAATTACACAACAGTATAAACAAAACATAAAAATACATGGCAACACATTATAAACAATACACAAAAATACATGACATTAGTATTTAATTTATAAAATCATTACTATTAATTATTCTAAATAATTTTTATTTGTTTTTCTTTTTCTCTTTTATCTAATTTTTACCTTTGGTTGGTAAAAAATATCTTCTCCATTTGTAATTTCATTACAAAGCATATTAATGTCACCTCTGATTTCAATCATCAATTCAATCATTAAACTTAAAAGTATAATCTAATTTGGCCAAGTCAGTACATTCTCAAGTCAGTACATTCTCAAGTCAGTACATTCTCAAGTCAGTACATTCTCAAGTCAGTACATTCTCAAGTCAGTACATTCTCAAGTCAGTACATTCTCAAGTCAGTACATTCTCAAGTCAGTACATTCTCGTGTCAGTACATTGTCAAGTCAGTAAATTATCCTTAAAAGATTAATTATATTAAAGTCAACGCCACCAATGGAAAGATAAAAAGGGAAGAGAAATTAAAGAAAAGTTAGAAAGCTGCATCAAACTTATAAGAGAAGAGGTAGTGTACCGTATAACATGTGTGACTACTTTTAGATTAAGTGAATTAAGTGAAAATAAAAAAGGTAGACAACCAACATCAATGACTGAATGTATTAAACTATTATGCAGACGGTTGGAGGAAGAAGCTGATGGAGAACTTTATACACTAACATTAAATAATGTTAGAGTAATGTGACTGTGACTATTTATAATTGTATATCCTCAAACCAAAAAGTAATTAATTAATGTATTGAACAAGCATTTTAAGCAAGATCAATAACTGCCTCTATTTTTTTTAGAATAGGAGCAGACAATTTATTAGTCTTAAAATGATTTATGGACCATCTGTAGAAATACGATTTCTCAGCTGCTATCAAAGAATTGCTATTCAAGCAGTCTACAATACAGAAACAATGCTGTTGTAGCTACTCTAACATCATAAGCTTTACACAATATGATGCCAGCAACATCGATCATAATATAGCAACTCTTATCTATCAAGGAATGTGGATAATTTCAATTCATTTTAATCTACATCACCACTCACAACAATTAAGCATCTGGAATGATGAAAATAAACATTATTTATTGCAAACGGATTCGGTGTTAACAATTTCTTTAAATGAATAAAGTTATTATAACAGTTTATCAGATTTTAAACCTAATTCAAAAGCTTATGCAAGTTTTAGTACTTCTAAATAAGTTGAATTAGATTTAACTAACATTAACTTTATGGTTCTTTAATTATAAAAAAATCATCACTTCATTTGGTCCAGTTCTAGGCAGTTCATGTAACTATTTAATCTAGAATATGTGAAAAAGCTGTTATATAAATTACTGTTATATAAATTACAAATATTATTTTACTTATCAGCAGATTTAAAAAAAAAAGTAACAAAGTAACAGGAAATATGGTTTTTGAAAATGCATTGCAACTAGCCCTGATCTTAGCTCTTCCCTATATAGAAATAAATAACTAAAAAAAATTCCAGTTATGGATTCAGCATGCGAAATAAATTTGATTAGTTACAGAATTTATTTTGCCAGAAAATACTTCTAACTGGTTAATACATATTTATTCTTTAAAAAATGTTAGCTTTATTCAAAAAAGTTGTCAGTTGCTGCAAAAATGTCTTTATAAATTTTATAAATATACTTTATTGTATAGGCTTATACTACTTATTAAATAGACTTACTAATGTATAGGCTTATAATTAATTGAACTTCAAGAATAACCTAAAAAAAAACTATCTTTAAAAATATAGTTTTGAAAAACTGTTAGTCATCAAATTATCTTTTTCAGAATATTGAAACTCAAATTATATGGCCCATATTATGCCTAAATATGGACCTATTCTGCTACCCATATGATGAGACTTTTTTTAATGACTCTTGTCATATTTCTAGATAACTTTACAAATTTATTTTATTGTATTTTTTTACAGGTTAACATCCTTTTTTATGCAATTCACTGCACTAATACATATAAATATAAATTCGAAATATCACAACATTACTAAACTTTACCCAGTTGTGCAACTTAAACTTAAACAGTACCTCTGGAAAATATTCCTCTTTAATGAAAGAAACAGTGTAATTAATATTGTTCTGTAAAAATGTGTAATCTGGTGTCTAAAGATAAAAAGGATATGGCATTACAAATATAATATTTTAAAGTCAAATATATGTCAAAAACTTTTAGAAATAACAAATACAAAAACTAAAGAACTTATCAAGTTAGAAATTAGATTTTTATCAATAGCAATATGGTAATTTTAATAATAAACTAGAAACAAAACAAAAAAAAAACAAAAAAAAAAAAGTAAAATAAAAAAAATATAATAATAAAATATTAACTTTAAATAAATTTCAAATTAAAAAACGTAAAAAATTAACAAAAAAAACTTACATGATCAATTAATTCATGTGAAAATAAGGAAAAACCTTCAAAGTAAAATCTTTTCTTATTATAGTAAATAGTTGTTGGCTCTTTTGTCTAAAAAATGAATATTAGTTACACCTTTATGAAATAATAGTTACACCTATATGAAATAATAGTTACACCTACACGAAATATTAGTTACACCTATATGAAATATTAGTTACACCTATATGAAATATTAGTTACACCTATATGAAATAATCTTAAAATTAGTAACATTACTAGTATTAAAATATTAAAATTTATATCAATCAATCAATTAATATATATTTCTGAAATAGTTGGCATTAACTTTCAAGGTTGTTTACAAATAGTAAAATGACTAACATTAAGTAAACACCTGTTAACAAATGATTAAGTTAATAATGGTTCTAATAATAAAAATAACATATATAATAGTAATAAACATAAGAATCACAATAATAATAAGGAAAGCAACAATAATAATAATAATAACAATAATAGTAATAAAAATAAAAAGTCATTTGTTTTTATTATCACAATAGCTATATACACAAAGTTAGACTGTTACAAACAGTTAACTAAATAAAACAATTTTTTAAATTGAAAACAAGTAAATAGGAATAATAACAATAAAATTAAAAATAATAATACCCATGATAACAATAATTATAATAGAAATAACAATAAAGGTGGTCCTCCTTAGTAAAGGGGTCGTCCATAAATTATGCTACGAAGTTTTTGACATTTTTTGACCCCCTTAAAAAAATTTTAAGTTTTTTTAGGAAGGATGGGAGGGGTGTAAAATTTTACTAAATACAAAACGATTTTAAATGTAATAATGTCTATAATTCTCTAAGCTTCTTTGAGTTAATCAATTAGTATTTTTCAGTCTATTTAATGTTTTTTTTTCACCCCAATAGTTACACCCTGTGTAAAATTGTATAAATTAACATTGCTCTCCTAAACATGATACCAATTTTAAAAATCTATTTTTTCGATATATAATACATGCAAAATATTATATTTATACATATATATATATATATATATATATATATATATATATATATATATATATATATATATATATATATATAATAAATGATAACATATTATACATGCAAAAATTTTAATTTATAAATACAATTTTCTTCAAACTAGCAGTGTAAGCGTGGTCGAGTGGATTCTGTCTCCAGCAAGTAAACCGAGGTTTCCAGATTCATTTCTCTGTATCAAAATTTTTTTAGTTATTACAAAAGATTGTTTTTTTGTTGCTGCACACTTTTGTGCACCAACTAAATAAAGTTCTGCATTTGAACCATATAAATTCAAAGTGCAGAACGTGCACTGCACAAACAGCCGTAACAGGCTGTAACCATTAACAGGCTGTAGCAGAGTGTACACATCGACTAAGTAAGATTTAGGTGTAGTTGATTTTACAACATGTAGATACATCAACTGAGGGTTTTGGTTTGATCAGATACTCTTTTAATTAAAAGAAAATCTTCTCTAAAAAAAAAAAAAATGTTGTCACAAAATCAAGACCTCTCTCTCGCTCGTAACAAATTGCCACAAAATCACCTACACACACACCCCCTCCCAAACGTAATGTAATTTATGGATGACCCCTAACTTGATTGCAAAGTGTTATTGATTTAACATTTTCACCGAAAATTTGGTCCTATCATATTTATTTTAACATTTAATATATATTTTTATTTTCACAGTAGTGTATTTGTTTAGTATCCATTTAAAGGGATCCCTAACTGCCAAGACAAGTTGTGTTCATATGAAAGAAAATGTTTAAAAAAACATTTGAATTGGGCTGAATTTTTTTGATTGAAACTAAATAATAAATGCATACCAACAAAATTAAAATTATCATTTTAGTCGAAGCTCGCCGTCTCCTTTTTTTTTGGTTCTCATGGTCTGGATAATGCTAGACGCAATCTGCAGACTTGATAATTTTTTCAATGTATGTTTAATTCATATTTAGTTCATATGGTTCAATAGAGTTGTTCGTTTTATGTTTAATTTACAATTAGTTATGGTTTAACTCTTTCACTACCGCAAGCCACTGGAGCGGCTTTCGAGTATGCTTTACTATTTATCTTGTTTTGTACATAAATTTCCATTCTAGACACATAGAATTTGTTTGTTCTGAAGGTTTAATTAATTCTCTACATAATCAAGAAAAAATAAGAGCTATATTGTGTAATTATAAAAAAGTTATCACAAAGTTAAAAAATCTTGAATAATTCTTCATAAAAAAACTTTAAATTTAGTTATGAAATAAAACAGCGTTAACACTGTAAAAATTAACTTGTAGAAATGTTAAGTATTTAGTTAAGTAATTACCAAAGTATTTTGAAGAAAAAATATTTTTATTCATTAAATAGGTTTGTTTTAGAATTAATGTTGTAGCTACTACTTACAAAAAGAATAGTTTTAAGCACTTTGCATTTCTTATTGTTTAATGATGCGTGTTAAAAACTTTATTATATACCATAAACTTTATCTGAATGCCTGAATTTTACTATTTCTTTGTCTGATTTTGCACAAGTGTCTTTTTGGCACATACATGTCAACATACGGTGTTTGGGCACATACAGTGTTGATGTTCCTTGTCATAAAAATCTGTACAGTGAAACAAAACTAGCCAACCAGTTTTTTTTCACTGCATACAAATTGTTAAGATTATTTCTTATGTCTAGGCCACATGAAAGATTTGTTAGGATTGTAAAAATGTTGATTTGTTCTTTTTTTCTTCCTGGTATAAATCTTCTTATTCCCCTTACCCATAATTTAAATATAATTACAATTAGTATAAAATAAAGAATTGAATTTAAAAAAAAAAAATATGCATATGATAATATTTTAATACTGATTTATGGACTTGATTTAAATTTCCATTTACTGTCCGAAAAAAATAAAACTAATTTTAATCCTCATCCTTTTCAAACATGAGAAAAATGTAGAAAAGAGTTTAATTCAAGTTGACCTAACTATTGACCTAAAAGTCAAATGGTGGTTGCTATGGGCGTTTCTAAGTATAAATTTTTTAGTTGCCTAAATATAACAACTTAAATATTTTGATATAGAGTTTGTTTTTAATTTAAATTTTCAGAGACTATTCACAAGCGATGAAATAATATAAAAAAATAAAAAATTTTTACAAAAAATAAGCTTATATTAGTGGAGAACCACCTTATTGTTTATAAATTTTATATATCACCATATAATGTATATAAAGCCAGATATTTTTTTAGCATATAAAGTTTTTTAAGATCATAAGTTTTTACAAAAAAAAATAATTGAAAGGCTATTTTTATGGTTACATTTTCCCATTTTCTATGTTATTTAACAAAATATAGAAATTGTTTGACTTTAGATAATAAATTCTTATATAATTTCTTATATAATTTCTAATAACGACTCAAGAAAAATCAAGCAAATAAACATCT